CCATGAGGTAGTTATAATTTTCTTGTTATCTCGAGATAAAGTTGTTGTCATGAGATAATGAGTTCATTAACTTGTGATCTCAAGATAGAGCTGTTATCTTGAGATCACAAAATAACTAACTCGTTATCTCAAGATAACAATCCAGAAAATTCTAGCAAAAGCTCACAGCCTTTCCAGACTTCCATATTGTAGCAACTGTGCTCCAGTTTCTCATTATATTGAATGGGATTTCTGCTAATGTTCTGTAAAGCTTGTCCAATCTTGCAAAAAAGAACGCATTTGTGGGCAGAGCATGGATTGGCCAGTTAGGTGAGCTAGAGCAGGTCAAGGACTACAGCCTGTGGGGGCAGATTTCTGGTCAGATTTCACTGAATTAAGCCAGAAGTTCCAGAACTGGTCGACACTGTTATGTCTGGCCTTCAAATGGACGAGACAAAACAAAAGCAAAATCACAAAACGTTGCAGCCCTGAGAGGACATTTAGAGCTGTGGATTGGTTTGGCACGTTCCAGTTGTAAACTTGGGCTGAAACCTCACTTTATTAACCCTTTAAACTTTAGGATAATAATTCAGCAACTAATGGCAAGTTTCAGTATCTAGTAACCCAATATAACAAATATATAACAAATATAAAAATGCTCTTTGGAGTGACGCCATAGAGGATCCACTTTCAGTGGACGGGTCGTTAAAGAACCATTTTTGTAAATGAGAAGTTTAAAGAACCTCCATATGCTATATATGTGGAAGCACTTAAGCTCTGCTAAGTAACACTGACGCAAGCATGCCATAAATCTGTCGTGGCAGATTAATAAAACAGTAATATAACAGTGTTATGTTAGCATTATTGGTAATTGTTATGACAGATGCCACAATGTTAAATGTTATGACAGCTTGTCTCAAAACTGAAGTCTACAGTTAACCATGACAACGACCAGTAATGGTATCACACAGTTATATTACTGGCCATAATCTATTATGACAGCACATGACATCTGCTATGTTTTGTTTATGACATGGTTATGACAATGTTATGTAGTAGGGTTCATGTAAAGTGTCATCATGCAAGTTTTATACCAGTCTGAAGTTTTTCCCACAACCGTACATCCAAGCCAAGAACCAATATGGAACATTTATTGATTAGTTAGTAATGGCCCTTACAGATTAAGGCGTAATCTTAACATAGTATTTATTTATGTATTTATTTTTTGGCTGAGTAATGAGAGTCTGAAGCTCATTTAAGGCCATCAGAAGGTTTCAGTAAGGGAACACCTTTAGAAGGCTTGGCTGTACAGTTAAGAAAAAAAAAAACTTAAGAAATAGAACCGTTATTACATTTTCTGGAGATTCTTCTCACTCAAGAATTTCACTGACAAAAAAACAGTTCTTCAAATAACCATCAATGCTAAAAGTGTTTCTTCTGTATACTCAGAGTGGTCAGTATGAGGTTCTGCCCACAGCTTTGATCTCTAACCTTCACGTAACAAACACTGAGGTTAAAAAAACTCATGGTGATTTTTTGAAAAATTGATACATCATAGCATAATGAAACGTTGAAGGGTGAACAAATCAAAACGATGGGTTAATTTCCCTTTCTCGTGAGTCAGAAGCTCCGACATGACCGCATTTCTTAAACAGGGCCCAAAATTTCTGTACTGATCACACTGTGCAAGTAACAACAGCTCTAATAAAAAAGGAAACCTATTATGGGGAACATTTGGGGAACATGAACCAAATGAACGTCCCAAAAACGCATACAAATCTCAGAGTGGCCACAGGTCCTCACGTTATACACTGAATTCAAAAGTACAAATTCTTACATTCTTTGAAAAATGAGAAATGTGGCAAAAGTACAGTGTAAACAGGTTCCTAGGACATTAGTAACTATGACAGAACTGCAATGGACAGCCTGTTGAAAGTCTAACATTAACCAATCCTATTCTACAGTGTTGCCCACGTCCATGTTTCCTCTAACCTGCTTCAGCTCATATGGGGCTTAATAATTAGCTAATGAATGACTGTGTTAGAGCAGCTAACAATGATTCCTGTCCTGCACAATCCAATCTAGTCCACTTCCAATGAATGTCTGCAGGGGTGAAATGTCTAGACCAGGGGTCAGCAACATGTGGCCCTTTTGCTGCCTTGTTGCAGCTCCAGAGCAAAATTAGATTATTAGGTAAAAATAAATTTATCCTCTTTGCAGTAAATTAAATCTCTGCTGGTCGTTTTAACAATAAATGGTCTTAAATGCTGGAGTTAATGTATAACTGCTAATTCACCCTTTAACCCTGAAGATGGGTGCACAGACCACGGGTCACCATAGCAACGCAGACAGTCTCACCTAGCTAGTAGCTAACGTAAAGGCAAAGAGAGAGATTTAAGACGAACATTGATAATTTGGAGACGAATGGACTTTTATAGCATTTATAATCACTCCAGCTGGTTTCCTAATATGTTTATGGTGCAGCGAGAAACTGTCAAACACTAAAAAGTCATGAAGCTGAAGTCAGCTTCTCATTTGCCACCTTCTACTTCAAATTGTCCCGTTCCACCTTAAACGGTGCAGCAGTTGCATTCTGCCTCGGGCACCATTTAAGCCTCGTAAAAAAGTGAACACTGAGAGACATTTTACAAGAAACATAACGTTTGATGAAAAGTTTCCTGCTGGAGATGCGAGAAAAGTGGCTATAGCTGAGCTAAAGCTTAAAGCAAAGCAAAGTAAGTCTGCGTTTTCATTTATATAATTTTTGGTCTACACTAGTACATCAGCACATACTGAGACATATTTACAGCCAAGATGGTAAAACGTTACTGCAATAAAATGGACATAAAATGTTGTGGCTCCCGAAGTGGTTTGATTTTTGTTGAAAGGACAAAATGTATCTTCCTAACATTTGGTTTGCGACCCCTGGTCTAGACTGTGGTCAAAGTGGCCTAACCATGGTTCACGATGAAGAAATTGTAGTGATCTTTGTTTAGAGTTGTGACGTAACTATGAATTATGCAGAAAATGAAGACATTCTTGATAACTGTAATGTATATGACTCATGCCTGTTAACTGCCAGGTTTACTGGGTGTGTTTGAGCTGAACAATCCTGCCCTGAGCTCCACACCTACTAGGCACTCTCTAAATGACCCATCACACATTATATTGCATCATCCATCCAGGCTGTCCTTTGCAGCTGTATCATTTAAACCTCAACATCACCCAGATGGAGTTTTATTGAGACACAAACATCCACCCAATTGCATAACAAGCTTCACTCCTTTCCAGTCGTCTCAATCTTTAACACCTCATAAAGCTCAGAAAATATAGCCTGTATCCAGGGCATTAAAGTAAAATGTTCTTCTTCTGTTACACATAAACTAGCTTGAGGACAGACAACATAGAACAATCCACAAAACACTACTTTCTCTTACGTTGTTTGCATATGCTGCTCTACGGTATAAAAACTAGGGTTCTCCTTTTTCGCAGCTTTCTATTAAGAGAAAATACACAAAACTCAAGCACATGTAAACATCTGATGTCCCTACGTATTCATATTTGGTAACTTTGTTCATCCGACTGAAACTTAGAAGAATGGCAGTAGGAGAGATAAACGTTTGGCGTGAATTTATACTATTCAGAGTTCAGTAACTCCTAAATGGAAAATAAAAGTAAAAAAAAGCCGAGATGGCATTTTTGTAACATTTCTCGAAAAGCTAACACTCTAATCCCACACAAAACACTGAAGAAAATTCATGTTGACGTGCAAAGAAAAGAATACAGTGAAATAAATAAAGCGTGCAAAGAGAAAACAACAAAATCGAGCAAAATAAGTGAGTTTAAAACTAAAAGGAAACAAAGCGAACTCAAAGAGGCCAAAACAGTAACATTTCATAAACTTGGTGGGAAGGCAAAAAAAACATGAAGTAATAGACAGAAAAAGAGAAGCGCACTGCAAAAAACATCTTGAAGATATGGATTATATCTAATATTTCTCACCGAGAGATTATTGTTAAGTGTTGTTTTCCTGTGGAAAAGGCCTAATCTTGGACTAAAGTTCATTGTCAATGGAGAATGACCACTGGAAACTCTTCTTAGTCTAGGTTTAGGCTTAATCCAGTTTTGTGAAACTGGCTCTAGAGGATTATTTAACATATTTCTAGGCATTTTAGTTTTCGTCACTGCCCACAAACATCTACAGAATGACAGCAAAAACGTTCTTAAATTTAAATGTAAGTTAATGTAGAGTAATTTTGAGGAATTTCTATTGGTCCATTCATCATGGAATTTCCACACAACGTAAAGGACAACTGCTGAGCTCAAACGATGTGGAAAAATAAAATTTGACAAAAAAAATTTTTTTGGACAGCGACAATTTATGAAGTGATTTTTTTTAGACATTTTTACTGAAATGAGGAAAACTATCTAGTTAGATAAGTGAATTAGGTATGTCTATAGAAATGCAGTTGTATGCAAAAGTTTTGACACCCTGATCAAATTACATTTTGTTGATTTTCGGGTGAAAGTAAGCTTCTACGCCAAACAAACAGATGAACATTTTAACACACAACGTTTATTTGCAGAATTTAACATACTGGGGGAGCAAATGAGACACAAAATGTGGCCTGTGCAAAAGTTATGACATGTTTTTATATTATGTTTTATTTTATTCCACAAAATATTAGAAATGTTACACTAAAATGTTCAGAAAAAAAGTCACATTTAAGTTCCCTGTATAGGATGTGTTACCTCAGATCAACAAAACGACTTTCAACAAAAAGTCGCTGTTGTCGGAACAAAACCTTGTATCTCCAAAATAATTACTTTACTTTTTACTTTTAATGTCAGTCAATGGAACCAGACTTTTTTCCAAGTCATGTTTGGCTGTTTCTTTTGGTCCATTCATCATAAATTTCTATACAATGTAAAGGACCACAGACATTTTCCAATTATGTCAAAAACTGAAAAGGTTACAAGGTTTTGTCCCGACAGCAGTGATGTAACTTGACTGGGGGAATTCAAATTTCTGCATATGACTGTATGTTGTTCAAATATTTAAAGACCTCACACTGAGAAATATTAGACATATTACCTTCATTTAAGATGCTTTTACGTGCCAAGATATCACTTTTTGCAGCGCGGCCTTCATGTGCCCAGTCATATTAGAGAGGGCTGGGAAGACCTCAAAGTAAGAGAGGAAGTAAAGACACCGGGGTTGATCACACAGGAGGAATCTTTCTACGAGGCATGTTAAAAGCAGAAGAGAGAGAGATGGAAGGGAAAGAGAGAGGGAGTGTGACAGAGACAGGGAGAGAGGCCCATATCGTAGAGAGCGTGTCCCAGATGGTGAACCCGTGAAGTCTTTTTAAAGCTCGATGACAAACAGTCTTTGTAGTCGGCAAAGCCACGGCGCTTCGCGAAATTTGCCATTATGGTAATGAAGGCAGTTCAGGCTGGCTCTCCACACGACGAGGGGAGTGTGTGTGTGTGTGTGTGTGTGTGTTTACAGCCGAGCGAGGACAGGTTTCTGGGTAGGAATTTTACCCCCTGAGAGATGAAGCAGAGCAAAAAGTAAACAAGCTGAGATTAGCACAGCAAAGTAACGCCTGTTAGCACGCTAGCGCTGTTCTCTTCAGTGGCAGCTACTCTAGAAAACTGGGTCATGAAGAGCAAACTGCACTCTTATACAGGGACATTCTGGGTAAACAGTCGTGTGCAAAAGTTTGAACAGCCCCGATCAAATAACACGTTTTGTTGAAAAGGGAAAATAATGTTAACAAATAAAGTTACCACATCCTCTACAGAGAACACACTTATAGCATTTTATTGCACAATTTCTATTTATCTGTTTAACATATTGGAACAAAATGAAACATAAAACATAAAAAACTTTTGCACAGGCCTATGGAAGCCCAAACAGGCCATGAATTTGCATGTTTTTTTTTCTCTATTTTTCTGTGATGACTTATTATAATGACTTATTTTCATTATTTTCATCACGACAAATGATTTCTTGAGATGTCAAGATATTTATTGCATTACCACAATGTAAAGAATGATATCTTGATAAAATAATGTCTGTTATGTTGTGATAATGGCAGCAATATCCCGATATACATTAGATCTCAAGAAACAAAAATAACTTTTAAAAAAACTGAATAAAAAATATGCAAATCAATGGACTGTACAGGCCACTTTTTGTTTATGTTTTCCAGTATGTTAAATTCAGCAAATCTGTAGAGGATGTGTACTCCCAAACTTTTGCACACAATTGTAGATACAATCAATTTGTCCATAAGGACGTGCTAGTATTATTTATTAATAGTAATATAGTGCAGAAAGATACAGTACGTTAAACTGGCCTATCTATGCTCCAACCACAAATGACGAATGTGCTTTTACACAGAAACTGTGGTAAACAGTAATAGCGTACGCAATCTTTTTGTCAAAATACCTCAATTTAGAGTGAATTAATGTCAATGTATTAATGTCAAATTATGTTTATTTTGTATGTCTGAAAGGTCACAATGTTAAAATAGATCGGATGTTATTTCTTTGTCATGAAACTGAGCTAACGTTAGCGTAGTGGCAATCATGTCGTTTCCAACCCAGCCAATTTCGATTAGCAATGAAAACACAGTTGAATTTAGTAGCGCAGCATTTATAACTGAAAATTAGTACTACATAGTAAACAGTCTGAGTGGTGCATTAGTTTCTTTTCAGTTGAATGAGATTTTTTTCTCCCTTTAGTTGTAGCCAATTCCACCTACTACCAACTCCCCCCATCACAAGATACTAATAATATTGGGAAGGTGAATGTCAGCATGTACTTCCTCTGAGACACATAAGGCGCCACTGAATCTTCGACATGCTGCTAACACAACGTCACTGCACAGCTCAACAAGCTTGAAGAACAATAACTGCCAATTAGCTGACACTGCACTGAGAAATGGGGGGGATTGAGGGAGATTTTGTCTCCTGGACTCCCAATCCAAGAGGATCGCTAGGGATCTAACACACATTCTCCCGATGATAAAGCATAACAGATAACACTTAAGGCTTTTACACACCGAACGTGATTTACTCGGACGGCAATAAATCAACTGGACTATGTGTACAACTGATGGTATATTGTACACAAAACAAGTTTTTCAGGCGTGAAAATGTGACATTATTTTATTCACACTCTGTTCGATTTTTGAGAACTTTCGCCAGCAACATGAACATTTTTCGCAGACTTGGACTTTATTATGATTGTTTATGTTTGTCAAGTTTTGCACAGATTAGTCTTTTGACTTTGGTATAGTAAGCCGTAGACGTTGAACCAATACAACTCAATACCGCATAAGCAGTCCAATTTTTGACTGCACCTTATTATTTATTCTCCATGCTACTGGACAAATGAGTCCACATTTTTTGTGATTTTTGCAACGGATTACGTCTTCATTGACCATTAGTTCAGTATAAACATGCTGCCACTCTGAGTTTATATAAGCAATGTCTGATCTGAACGAGAGTATGCAGGCTAACTTCCTATGCCAGCACAGATGTTGGCTACATTTATACAACAACCTTATTTCCTTCAGTATATAGTCCTACATTCATGACAAAACACAAGCATTACTGAAGCTTTGGCAAATGATGAGAAGTCTAAGGTAAAACAAGCTGAACAGGAGCTTAACTTGTGTTAAATGTCTCAACGCGCAGAGCCGCAGAGTTTAGGCTCTAAACTTAAGGGATGCTACTCAATTCCTCACGGTGGTAGTCCAGGGGGCGTTCTCTTCCCCAGAACAGCAAAGAGGAGCATCATCACAGGATTATATTTATTTAAACGTTTATTGGTACTTCAGGTGAACTGGACATTGCATCAGGAGGATTTTATCTGTTCTGTCTTGTAGAGTTTTACAGGTCAAATATCGGTATTTATCTGACGGAAACCCTGGTAGCTATGAAGAAAGCATTTGTGGGCGGAGCACGGATAGAGCAATTTTACTAATACTACATGCCTACTATTTACTGTTTAGAAGGCTGGAATACAAGTAAAAGCTTATGTGCTGGACAGAATATGACATCAGCCTTACCCAACACGTCCTCCAATGAGTTCACAGCAATCTTGTTGACCTTCAACGTCACCTGATCACCACTGAAGAAAAACAAAAACTGTCAGATAAAACAAAACTCTTCAAAACTTTCCAGCAAGGCCAAAAAAAAGTTTATCAAAACATTTCTTACGCTTTAACTCTCCTGACAGCCTTCAACCGTATCAGGGCAGCTAAAGCATTCTTCTGCAAATCTGATGATAAGGCTTCATAACACTTCAGACTTCCTGTAACAGTGAGAAAAGAGAAAAATGAGGCCGACTGGAGCTCCACTTTAAAGGAAATGTCTTTCTCAAACATTTTTGCAGTGTTTTATGATGATATTTTTTGTGAAATGTGCTTCTACAATATGATACAGCACAAATATTACCTCTTGTAGGCTTTTATCAGGAATAGAACTGGCTTAAAACGATTTCAGACAACATTACACAAAATATAGTTGCAAGCGGCAATTCTGGGGTCCAAGCATTTAGCATAACGAGGCCTTATGCATCAGTATAGGGCCTTTTTCCCCCAGACAGAAAATACATGGACTTTATCATGATTTTTAATGTTTGTCAAGTTTTGCACAGATTAATCTTTTGACTTTGATACAGTAAGTTGTAGACTTTAAACAAATAAGACTTAAGACCAATTTTTAAATATCCTAGCTGCACCTATATTATTATTTATTCTCCATGCTACTGGACAATTGAACAAATGATCAAAATCCATATTTATCATCTTATAGTACAGTGCACTGATCTAGGGTGAGATCATTTTTGCCCATATAACAGCCTTAATTAGGATGTACAAGGCAATAACCGTTCCTATATCAGCACTAGTGTTTTGACACATACTGTCTTTAAAGTGCAGTGCAGTTCAGGCAGCTCCAGAGCACGGAATCACTTCCTTTACCTCTTCGCTTTTCAGCTTTTTATTTGATCTTTTGGTTGACTTTGTTAAACCCAGGATTAAAGGACTGAAAACTTCAAACACAGTAATGCACAGAGTGGCTGAACATTATGTGGAGATATTTGTCTTGTTTTTGATTGTGAAGGCAGTAATGAGGATCATGATGCAGGTACCTGAGAGAATGAGCTGGAGAGTGAAGTTTCTCACAGCAGGAACAAACTTATTCTCTGGAAGATTCTCCTCCGATTCCTCACACAGATACTGACACACAACCTACACACACACACAAACACACATGGGTTTGTTTTCACTCATTCACGTTGCGGGGAGGGGGGGGGTCCATCACAGGGTTTACTTTTATTGGTCATACAAATCCCCCATATGTATTACTGTGTATATCTGCAATTACCTACATTTAATCATATATATATTATATACACTACTGTGTAAAATCATAGACACAAACACACTATTTAAAGCCATTTATCCTGGCAATAAGAGTGCTTCTGCTAGTAAAACCACCATATATTGTTAAAATAAAAAATAAATAAACATAAATACAGTAAAAAGTGACAAGATAAAAAAGTAGCTGGAAATGGTTAAACAAATACTTTCACATACATGAAATCACTACTTACTGTATTAAGATTATTTGTGTTTATTTATAGTGAAATCTATAAATAAACACAAAAAATCTTAATAGCACTATAAATAAACACAAATACACTACATCTTATTACAGTAAGTAGTGATTTACATACATTATATATATATACATATATATATATATATATATATACACATATAAATATATATATATATATATATATATATATATATATACATATAAATATATATATATATATATATATATATGTATACACATATAAATATATATATATATATATAAATATATATATATATATATATATACACACACACACACACATACATACATATGTATGTATGTATATATGTGTGTTTGTGTATCACTGATGTCGGAGCAAAACCTTGTATTTCCAAAATGGTAACTTTACAGGAAGGAAAAAAACACTACTTTTCAATGGAAAAGTCAATGGAAATCAAAGTCAATGGAACCAAACATTTTTCCAAGTAATTCTGGGCCGTTTCTTTTGGTCGATTCATCTTGAAATGTACACACAATATAAACGACGGTAGGGATTTTCAAATTATGTCAGAGATACAAGGTTTTGGTCCGACAGAAGCGATATATGGTTTTGTTATATAAGGTAACAAAACGTTGGACCTCTATTTTGGATCCCTTTTCTTTTGTTTTTTTTTTTACATATGTGAAAATGCCAAGTGAACTGTACATTGTTTCCAAAATTCATGATCAATAGACAATAATAATGATCCGTATTTACATGGAATAAAATGATGTTACATTCACTTACACTGAATCATGAAAAATTAGCTTTTTGGAGATATCTGTATTTTTGAGTGTTGGTGTGTAAAACTACCTGATATCCCTGCAGGAACGGGTCCAGAACAGAACACAGAAAGGCCAGTGTGGTCTGTCCACTCTGGGACATAACAAGGTCCTGCTGTAACTCCTGAACTGCACCGCACTTCCCCAGCAGGTAACAGGCTTCCTCAAAGTCCTACACAGCATGGATGTACAAACACACAGAATCAGAATCGGGCAGTTCGGGATATGTAGGTGTTTTCTTCAGTTACACATTACTCACAATGCACGTTAGCTCACAATGCACGTTAGCTCACAATGCACGTTAGCTCACAATGCACGTTAACTCACAATGCACGTTAGCTCACAATGCACGTTAACTCACAATGCACGTTAGCTCACAATGCACGTTAACTCACAATGCACGTTAACTCACAATGCACGTTAACTCACAATGCACGTTAACTCACAATGCATGTTAGCTCACAATGCACGTTAACTCACAATGCACTTTAGCTCACAATGCACGTTAACTCACAATGCACGTTAGCTCACAATGCACGTTAGCTCACAATGCACGTTAACTCACAATGCACGTTAGCTCACAATGCACGTTAGCTCACAATACACGTTAGCTCACAATGCACGTTAGCTCACAATGCACGTTAGCTCACAATTCACGTTAGTTCACAACAGAAACTTTCACTTATTTAATAATTTCATCTATATTCAATGTGCAAAGTGTTTTCTAAAGTTTGCAAAGCGTTTATACTAAATGTGGCAGTGAGATATTACATGATCTGATGGTCTAAAAGAGTCTATATCATGGAAAAGCAACAGTTTTTAAATGAAAAAGAACCTGATGTGGTTTGTACATACAGTTAGAGTTTCAAAACGCACCATTCTCTCCCCAGTCCATTCAGTCCATATATGGAAACTACATTTTGAATTCAGTGTTTCTGTGACGTCACAGGACATTTTTATTTATTTATTGTTTATTCTTCAATTATTTATTTGGAAATTGACCTTAAAATACTTGCTTGTTTTAAAATGGTTGTTAAAAAAATGAATCTTTATGCTTTTATTTTGAAACCATTTGAAACCGGGGGCCCCCACACAGTCCCTGAAAAGCCACAGCTGGCCTTGGTGGTGGTTACAATTAACAAACTGAATCTGATTGGTTAAACAGGGAAATCTCCACTCAGGGCCACAAACTCAGGGCTCGGGACAACAGGCAGTGTAACCTGCTTATTACGGTTAGGATGATGATGAAACCACATTAAGTCTGGATCAGTGTGAAGTGCTGTGTATGGGTGTGATGTGTGTGGGCGGTTGTACCTGCACCGCTGCTCCCGGGCAGAGGATAAACTCGTTAGAGAACACGTTCCGCAGGAAGTTAAAGCAGTTAAAGACCTCGTCTGCAAAAAGTTGAAACGTTCAGATATCAGCGTTGCCTGACTCTTCTGCATGAATCCAGCAGGAAGAACAACCTACAGTGCATTTCTGGTCTGATTAGAAGCTCTAACTGAGCTCTGCTGTTTAAAGTGACAGTTCAGCCAAAAGCCAAACATATTCAAATGTATTAATATATTAATCAAATGTATTAAAAATGACGTTAATATTTCTTCTACATTTCTACATAATTCAATAATTGAGTGGTGCATTGCAGACAAACATAACGACTCAGACTTCTTTACAATGATGTCACAAATACAGCCATTTTACCTGCCATCCAAGTCCGGCGAACCCGCACACGTCTTCTGGGTTTTATATGTAATGTTGATGATGGTAAAATAGTGATAAATTTAAAATGAAAACTTTTCTTTAGGAACTATTTTGCCTTTTGATGACTAAACTTCATCTCAAAACTATCGCAAAACAATGCCTCAAGCTAATCTGTGCAACTTTGTGCATTAGCTTTCTGTGAGGGAGCTTTTAGAGGTGGACGTCTGGTTCCTATCACCACCACTGTGAACAGTTCTGACTGTAAGTTTCTCTACAACAGAGCGTTTCACACCAAACCACTCTGACTGACTTTGTTCACATCTTAACCATTTAAATATGATATTAAATAAGATACGAGGTTAAAAAACCTAATTATGAAAATTCTTCTTTATTCAATCAGGTTTTAAACTTTAGCTTTGCACTGTAACTACAGGAATGCACAACGCTAAACTTGTGGCTGTAAGTTTCACTCACTCGTTAGCTACATTAGCCTCGTGCTCCAAACTTTGGCCATCAAACACGTTGTGCCTGATCAACTACATTTATGGTGAGAAGAAAACTGTGTAAATTAGATTTTTGGCAGAATCATAATTTGAAGAAAGATCATTTTCTAAAGCCACAGAGAGGAGAGAGCCAAACTACTGACATGGTCAAGCTACACTGAATGTCATCCCAATTACATCTGTACCTAAAACCACTCACAAAATATTAGCTTCAGCAGTTAAAGTGCTGAAAAGGGAACTGAACGTATTTGCTGAAACTGAATTCTAACCTGACCTGCGTTCCTCATTAACATACCTGAATAAACGCTCACCTTTCCTGCTGCAGTTAGCTGTCTGAATGGCCACAGCGAGCAGCGCCGGACGCACGAACAGGTGCAGTATCTGATTCCTATAGGAGGCGCAGGACAGCACACTGACCGCCCGGTTAAACTCCGCCTCTTCAGTCGTCGACTCCGCCCCCAACGGCTCAGCAACGACCAACCGCACGCGGCCACCCGACACACACACCAGGTTCTTATGGAGGGCCAGACTGGAGCTGATCACCTTACTGCAGTGTTCACGGTCTGATAGAGAGAGAGAGAGATAGAGAGAAAGAGAGAGAGAGAGAGAGAGAGAGAGAGAGAGAGAGAGAGAGAGAGAGGGAAAGAAAGAAAGAGAAAGAAAAGAGAGAGAGTACAGAGATAACAGAGTTAGGGACAGATAGAGAAAAGAGAGAGAATGAAAAAGAGAGCGAGAGAGAGAGAGAGAGAGAGAGAGAAGACAAGGGAGAGGGAGACAAGGGAGAGAGAGACAAGGGAGAGGGAGAGGGAGAGTATAAAGAAAGGGAGAGATAGAGAAAAGAGAGAGAATGAAAAAGATAGAGCACGAAAGAGAGAGAGAGAGAGAGAGAAAGAAAGAAAAAGAGAATGAAAAAGTGAGTAGTCAAAGAGAGATAGAAAAGAGAAAGAAAGCGAGAGAGAGGACAGGGGAATGAAAAAGAGAGAGAGGCAGAGAGAGAGAAGGAGACAATGAGAGAATGAAAGAGAAAATGAAAAATAGAGAGAATGAAATAGAGACGATGAGAGAGCAAGAAAAACAGAAAGAGGGAGAAAGATAAAGTGAATGAACAAGAGAGAAAAAGAGAAAAAAAGAATGAACCAGAGAGGGAAGGAGACATATATTGAAAAAGAGGAGAGAGAGAATGAAAGAGAGAGAGACAGAGAGAGAGAGAGAGAGACAGAGAGAGAGAGAGAGAGAGAGAGAGAGTGAGAGAGTTTGTTTCACAGCACATTTCCTTAGGCTTTGACAAGAAACAGAGCTAAACAGAGAGAACGAATGAATTAAAAAGAGGTCTGTATGGTTTTAATTTGGGCTGAGCTAAAATAAACATCGATGATCAAAATCAAACATGAGGAATTTTCAATAACATTCTTTGTTATTGTTATTGTGTTGTTTTGTTTCTAAAATGATATTAGAAGCAAACTTGGAAGTGTTGCTGCTTCTGGACACCAGGTGGCGATGTGTGCCTTTTCCTCTCCAGACGGGAAGCGAGAAGAAAGAGACTCCTGACACTCAGGACAGCAGAAACCAGCGGGACAGTTAGCAGAGTTAGCTAGCTAGCTACTTCAAACCAGCTAGTTTTGACTGTTTGACTGAAACTGTTTTGACTTCCTTAAATCAGACGAAAATCAGACACTTCTTGTTTCTCTCAGGTATCAAAATATTAAAACTGTGCTCTCGGAAATGTTAGTAATAATTATTATTCTCAATACTGAATGATGTTCAAAGATATACTATAGTTTATTTTATGATAGGTACAGGTCGTTCCCTACCAGGCCAGTCTAAAAATGCCCCAAAGGCCAGAGCGAGGCGTCTGAGCCAGTCGGCCTGTTCGGTCAGCGAGGACAGGTCCATCCCGTCCGGGTTCTGCAGCAGCAGCGTGGCCACGAGAACCCACGGCCTCAGCACCATGCTCTCCTCCTGCAGACGGACCAACCGGAACGCGATGTCGTTCACAAACGCCTGAGTGTCCGCAGTTGGTTTCTGGGGAATGTGCCTGACCACAAAGCAAGTCATTAACATTACAACATCAACCTCACAAAGAACTGAAATTCTTTGGAAAGTGCAGATTCTAAAATTTCAATCCATGCATTTGTTTTTTTGGGAGTAGAAGATTTATTACTATGATTTGAATTGAATGGAAAATTATTGTTGTGTATTATCTTGTTTTGGGGGGGAAAGAAAAACCATTCTTTACATATTTTACACTTTTGTCATCGTTTGACATCAAAATAAACAGAAAAAGTACTTGAACCTGTTGCTTCTGCTAAAGCAACGACAATAACAGCGATGATGAGTTTGTACAGCTCATTCAAGTGTTAGAGCTTGAAGCAAAAATAGCCTTATCTCACTTTCAGTGGTTTGTCAGCTGACGATGAGAAGAGGAAAACGAGTCTAGGCAGTTGATAAAGGAATAAACCCTCTCATACGGAGTTAAAGAACCTCTGTGTCTGCGTTTCACTGCTGCTGTCTAACAAGTTAAAGTTACACTGGATGCAGCTCGTGCTTAAAAGTTGCTGCTACAGCCGCTTTCAGAGAAACAGTTTTCATTTCCTCCCTTAAAAACGATCAGTATCTGAGAGAGCGAGTGCTCAGCAGAGAGATGCTCGTTCACTGGTGCCAGTGGTTCCACCTTAGCAGTGATGCAGTGCTGTACTGTGTCACCTGGGCAGCAGGTTGTACTGGGAGCGGCTGATGTGTCCCTGAGCCAAACTGCGGATGGACACGGGGTGACCAAAATACACATGCATACTGCCGTAATCCTCACTGAGGATCCGCCGAGCCTTCAACAGACCCTGAGAGGCAGAGAGAGAGAGAGAGGGAGAGGGAGAGAGAGAGACAGAGAGAGAGATGGAGAGAGAGAGAGACAAGATGAGCTTTTAAAATGTTCACTTATTGCAAACCGACGAAGGAAACATGCTCTTATAATATGTTGGCTACTTGTTTCTCTGTTATTAGAGCTGCTGGTAGAACAGACAGGCGTGTTACTCACAGATGTGGACTCTTTGGGTTTCGGCACTCCGAGCAGCTCCCGAGCGTAAAGAGATTCCTCTAAAATCCTCTCATAGCTGATACTGACCGGAACCAGGTTAACATCAAACACTTCACCTTTAAAAAACGGCTCCATCACTATATTCAGCAGACCTGAGAGAGAGAGAGAGAGAGAGAGAGAGAGAGAGAAGAGAGAGAGAGGAGAGAGAGAATAGAGAGAAAGAGAGAGTGAGAGAAACAGAATAATAGAGAGACGAGAGAGAGAACGAGAAAAAGAGGAGAGACAGAGAGAGAAGAAGAGTGAAACAAAAAGAAAGAAGAGATAAAGTAAACAGAAAGAAAGAGGATGAGGAAGGAGAGAAGGAGAGAGAGAGGACAGATGGAGATTGAAAGAGAGAGACAGAGAGGGAGAATGGTGAGATAGAGAAAGAATGGAGGTATGGACAGCAAGAAAGAAGATGAAGAGAAAATGAAAAAAGAGATAGAGGAAGTGAGAGAAACAGAGGGGGAGAGAGAGGTAAGAGATAAAGAAAAAAAGTAGACAGAGAGAGAGAGATTAGAGAGAAAGAATGAAGAGAGAAAGAAAAAAGAAGGACAGAGAGAGTGAGAAAACAGAGGGAAAAAAGAGAGCCAAAGATAGAGGGAGAGAGAGAGAGATGGGAGAGAAAAAAAGAGAGTGAGAGAGACAGAGAGAGAGAGAGAGACAGAGAGAGATGAGGGAGAGAGAACACAGACAGAAAGAAAAAAGAGAGAGAGAGAGCCAGAGAGCGATGAGAGAGAGAACACAAGGAGAAAGAAAAAAGAGGGACAGAGAGAATAAAAGAAAGAGATGAGAGCGAGAGAGGGGAGAGAAAGAGAGAGAAAAAAGAGATGGGGTGAGATGAGAGAGAAGAGAGAGCGAGAGAAAGAGATGAAAGAGAGAGAGAGAGGGAGAGAGACAGAGAAAAAAGAGTTCGAGTGAGATGAGAGAGGAGAGAGAGAGAGAGAGGAGAGAGAGAGAGAGAGAGAGAAAGAGAGAGGGGAGAGAGAGAGAGAAAAAAAGAGATGGAGTGAGATGAGAGAGAAGAGAGAGAGCGAGAGAAAGAGATGAGAGATGAGAGAGAGAGAGAGAGAGAAGGGAGAGAGAGTATTAGGTTGTGTGACACAGCTCTGACAGATATCTGTGCTCAGAAGGACGGATGCTTTTTTCATAAATCTTAATTTGGTTTTCCGGCTCTGATTGATGGCCGATCCCGGCGCACCTCGCAGAGTTCGGCTCGTCACTTTAAACTTTCCCCTCCATAAATAAGACGGGGCCATTAAATCACTCGCAGCCGTGATTCGATTGTGCAGCTGTTCTGAAATTTCGTTGAGGGGCAGATCAGCTGCCACCGGAACCCACACGGTGGAAAAAGCCTCTTCCTGTCACCTCCCATTTATTTGCGGGGAGCAGGAAAAAAATGAGGCGGAGTAAAAGCGGGAGAAAGGCTTGACGCTGCGTAATATTATGCAGGAGTCAGCAAGGGCCCTCTGTCAAACAGCCCGACGAGACGAACGCTGCAGCGCAGGAACACGCCAGCCGTGTTCTACATCCTTCACGCAGAGCGCGTTACGGAGACGCCGGCAGATTACCTGTCTTAGGTGTCAGTGATTTCCCTGTTCGGCTTCGCGTTCCTTCCAGGAAGAACTCGATTGGTGCGTAGCCGTTCTGTGGACATCAACAGACACAGCAGCGTTAGGCCTCAAACACTGAGGACCGTTTAACAGAAGATCCAGACTTTGCTTCAATAACGTTCAGTATTACTGATGTGGTCTGTAATATGTGCGCTGAGGTGCTGCAGGGCTGAAAACCTGATTTAAATACAGCTCTTTAAATAAACCACCGCATCGTTAAATCTCAACCACGATCTGACTGTAGAACTACTTTTAAAAATGATCAACACACAAATGTGACTACAGAACTACTCACTCAGTCATGGAACACAGATAGACAAACAAAAAAAGAGCTGTTTATGTGACTGTTATGTTTAAATATTTTGATCTTAAATTTTTATGCCATTTATAGAAATGTTAATAAATAATAAGGTTAATAAACACTGAATATTAGTTATTTAATAATTGATAGTAGTTACTCAATAATTTATAATAGTTTATCAAAGTTACTGAATAATTAACAGTAGTTACTAAATACTTACAGCAGCTACTGATTCATTTATAGTAGTTACTGAATTCATTATAATAGTTATCAAATCATTTATAGTAGCTACTGAATAATTCATAGTAGTTAACACAAATTACCGTAGTTACTGAATAAATTATAGTAGTTACTGAACAATTTACAAATATTATCTAATAATTTAAAGTAGCCACTAAATCATTCATAGTAGTTACTAAATAATTTATAGTGGCTATTGAATAATTTATCATAAGTACTAAATAATTAACAGTAGTTGCTTAATAATTTACAGCATCAACTGATTAATTCATAGTAAGTACAGCGTAATTTACAGTAGCTACTGAATAATTCATAATAGAAACTGAATAATTCATAGTAGTTAACAAACAAATTACAGTAGTTATTGAATAAATTACAGTAGATACCAAATACTTTAACAGTTATCTAAGAATTTAGAGCAGCTACTGAATAATTTCTGGTAGTTAGTAAATAATTAATTGTAGCTTCTGAATAATTCATAGGAGTAACTGAATAATTCAAAGTTAACAAAAGAATTACTGTAATTACTGAATAATTCATAGTAGTTACTGACTAATTTATAACAGTTATCTACTAATTTACAGTAGCTACTGAATAATTAATTGCAGCGTCTGAATAATTTAAGTTATCTGTAAGTAAATAATGTAGGTTATCTAATAATTTATATTTGCTTCTGAATAGTAGTAACTGAAAAATTCATAGTAGCTACTGAATAATTCATAATAATTATCTAATAATTCACAGCAGCTATTGATTACTTTATAGTAGTCACTGAATAATTTATAGTAGTTACTGAATAATTTAAATTAGTTACTAACTAATAAGTCAATAGAATAAATGTATATTATTAACAATACTAAGCTTGAAGTTTAACTCATTGATGTTCATATCTGAACTTTTTAGTTAATTTCTATTTACTTTATAGTAGTTTATTAATAGTTAATATTAGCTACTGAATGACAATATTAGCCTGCAGTTTAACTCATTAATATTAATATCTGAATTGTTTAATTTGCTTTAATTTCCAGTCTACATGCTCTCTGAGACGGCCTGAGCACAAACCTGAACAAATCTCTCAAACTGATCAAGCCACGTGGTTAAAGGTGGCTTTTTACCCACTTTATATATCATATTAATTTGGCATTTTGGTTATGTGGGACTGAATTTTAACAGAAATGAATAATCCAAACGTGCTCATGAATAAAGGAAAAATGACTTATTACACATTCAACATAACTGTACTGCACTGTAGCATTTCTCCTTATCGTATGAATGTTGGGATGGATGGCTGGATGGAGAGATGGGTGAAAAGGCAGCCTTACTCTCAGCATGGTCTTCACATACTCCGAGAAGACAGCCCAGTAGAGTTTATCACCTCCGAACGACCGTCGGATAAAAAACGCTCCGGACATCCGCAACATCTCTCCCACGAACTTCATACTCATAAAATCTGAAACAAAACAGCAGGTCAGACAAGCTGCATCAATAATTTCAGTTTCAATCAGTATGAACAGAGTACACACTGTCGTATGCAGAAGTTTGCGCGCCCCTGTTAAAATGACACGTTCTGTTGATTTTTTTTAAGTGAAAATAAGTGAACACATCCTCTACAGAGACACACTTCTGCACATTTTAATGCACAATTACTGTTTATTTGCTGAATTGGGAGAATTCACATATAATATTGGCACAAGCCCCAGTTTATTTTTTATTTTTTCCATTATGTTAAACAAATAAACAAAATCTGTGCTCTAAAATGAACTTAAAATGCCATATTTAAGTGTTTACTCTGTAGAGAAGGCGTGTCAAACTGGGCACCTTCCAGGCCAAAGTGCTGTGGAGATCAGTGTTTACCCTCATGTGACGTTCAGTCGATGAAGGCTTTGCTCATTAGCTGATGAGCTGAATCAGGTGTGTTTAATGAGGCAGTGTGCTGACGCCTGCAGTGTTTTGGTCCCGCGAGGACTGGAGCCTGACACATGTGCTGTAGAGGGTGTGTAAACCTATTTTCACTTAGAAAATCAACAAAACTGGGGGTGTTCAAACTTTTGCATTTGACTGTACACATATGACAACATCCACATACAGCCCTAATATCAGTGCTACTGTAATGAGCTAAATCTAGTAACACTTTTTGAGTGCTGCACTAAAAATCTGTATTTTGAGCCTGTTCATGCCTTTGTTTAGGCCAGGGCGTTGGTAACATGCAGCTCTGGAGCCACGTGTGACTCTTTCACTGCCCTGTTTTAGCTCCACAGCAGAATTACATTTTTAATTAATTAATTAGTTAAAGCATGACTGTTAATTCACCAATCATTAACCCTGAAGGTTGGTGCGCAGACCTCAGGTCACATAGCAACGCACACAACAATCGTGCCTAGCTAGTAGCTAACGAAACGTCAAAGAAAGGAAAGATTTAAGACACTGATAATTTAGAAATGAATGGACTTATTTGCATTTATGGGCCCTCAGCTGGTTTCCTTATACGTTTAATCTGCAGCGAGAAACTGTCAAACACTAAAAAGTCCTGAAGCTGAAGTCAGTTTCTCATTCGAATTCTCCCGTTCCACCTTAAATAGTGCGGGAATGTTCAAACAAGAAAGAGTTGAACAGTGAGAGACATTTTACAAGAAACTATTCCACTTTTGAGGAAAAGTTTCCTGCTGGAGATGTGAGAAAAGCAGCTACAGCTGAGCTAAAGCTTAAAGCAGTGCAAAGTAAGTCTGCATTTTTGTTTATATTATATTTTTTTAGCCTATACTAGCACTGAGACATATTTACAGCCAAGATGATAAAATGGAACTTCAATAAAATGGACAGAAAATGTTGTGGCTCCCAAGGTTTTGTTGATGGGATAAAATGGCTTTTCTAAACATTTGGGTCGCCAACCTCGGCTTTAGGTCATACAACAATCACAATCTTGCTTACGCCTCAAATCTTCAAGATGTTATACATCCTTTCCTAAAAGTGTGAATAGAGAGTAACTGCAAGCCAATCACACATAAATGCCGCTAAGCTACCTGAAGAATTACAGCACAAAGATCAATCCAGATTTACAGCATGTAGAACTCTGAATTAAGCAAAACAAAAGTCAGGTGATAATCCTGTTGCTAGCACTGTTACAGGTACACACCCATTCCTGCGGCGATGACGGGCAGAGCCAGGTCGTATGTGTACAGGATGTAGGACATCATCAGGAAGTCCATGTAGCTGCGGTGACTGGGCAGAAGAACCACCGGGTGCTCCTGAATGGCCTGCTGAAGCTGGAACCAATAATCAATACAGATCAAGCGTTATCAATCAGCTAATGAATACATAAGCCTAGGAGGCTATTAATCAACATAATATATATATATATATATATATATATATATATATATATATATATATATATATATATATATATATATACGTACACACACACCGATGAGGCATAACATTATGACCACCTCCTTGTTTCTACGCTCATTGTCCATTTTATCAGCTCTGATCCACTCAGACCAGCGCAACACACACTAACACACCACCACCACATCAGTGTTACTGCAGTGCTGAGAATGATCCACCAACCAAATAGTACCTGCTCTGTGAGGGTCCATGGGGGTCCTGACCACTGAAGAACAGGGTGAAACAGGGATAACAAAGTATGCAGAGAAACAGATGGACTACAGTCTGTAACTGTAGAACTACAAAGTGCACCTATATAGTAAGTGGAGCTGATAAAATGGACAATGAGCGTAGAAACAAGGAGGTGGTCATAATGTTATGCCTGATTGGTGTACAAGATCAATAGAGTTATGGCGATGATATAAACCAGCCATATCTATCAGACATCGTGTAAAAAAACTGACAGGTCCAGAGAATTTATTTTCTCCTGAATAATTCAGATTCTCCACAAGGGGTCGCCATTAGCATTTATAGGGGAATTCTACTGATTTTTCTGAATTCCTGCACAATTATATGGTTGAGATGTAAAGAAAGTCATTCAGAGTGGTTTGATGTGAAGTCAGAATAGTTCACATCAGGTGTAGCCTGTAGCCTGTAGGGGGCAACAGCTCCTAATTCTAGAGATGCCTTTCTAAGGAATAAAGAGAGGTTGGAAAATAGTCACGTCAAAATTAATTATGATTATTTTTGGTACATAAACCCTCACAAATGTTATAAGTGGCCCTACTGGAAAAAAAAAGTACAAGAAAAATGTAGAAGCCCTTTAATATAACAGTGAATAATGTAAGTTATAATAATAACTGCAGTTCTCGCGATTTGAAAGTTGCTTCAAACTGCGTTTCCAATATTAAACAATTAATCGTGCAGCTCTGTTTATTGGACACAGGGTCCTGAGCAGTGGGCATTCTCTACTGTATAACTATCAAAGTGTCATCAGCTGCTGGACTCACTCTCTGAATGCCCTCCTCGTTGACACACACGCTGCGGAAGAGCGCTTTGAAGGCTTTGCTGAGTGTGAAGGCGAAGAAGCGGACGGTGCCGAGCTGAAGCCGGTGGGCCATTTCCTCCAGCAGCAGAGCCGCCTCCTCCTGAACCGTCTCCCGAGACTCGCCACACTCCGCTGAGACCTACAGACACAGAGAGAGAGTTTGGATCAGTCTGACGTGTACAGCCTACAGAAGCATCAGATCCATGTCTTACCAAGAATTAAAAGACATCAAAAAAAATCTAATTTGCAGTTTTTCTTCTTAGCATAAACGTAGCTCATCAGCATGTTTGGTGTCCAATGTTTGCTTCTTTAGTTCTGTGTAGGAGCTAATGAAGCTAGAAAAGATTATACCTCACCAGTTAGCACTGCGCTACTATTGTTTATTACATACTAAGGTGTATTTTTTAAATGTGTTTTTCAAATTTGTGCATAATTAAATAGGAAAGATGTAAGTCGTTCAGTAAAATGCATCACTCTAGAGAAAGAGTTACAACTGTTCACTGTTCACCTCTGGTGAACCTGGTTCTGGTGACCCCTGGTTCTGGTGACCCCTGGTTCCTATCACCACCACTGTGAAAAATCTGAGACCTCTGGTGACCCCTGGTTCCTATCACCACCACTGTGACAAATCTGATACCTCTGGTGACCCCTGGTTCTGGTGACCCCTGGTTCCTATCACCACCACTGTGACAAATCTGAGACCTCTGGTGACCCTGGTTCTGGTGACCCCTGGTTCCTATCACCACCACTGTGAAAAATCTGAGACCTCTGGTGACCCTGGTTCTGGTGACCCCTGGTTCCTATCACCACCACTGTGACAAATCTGAGACCTCTGGTGACCCCTGGTTCTGGTGACCCCTGGTTCCTATCACCACCACTGTGACAAATCTGAGACCTCTGGTGACCCCTGGTTCTGGTGACCCTTGGTTCCTATCACCACCACTGTGACGAATCTGAGACCTCTGGTGACCCCTGGTTCTGGTGACCCCTGGTTCCTATCAACACCACTGTGACAAATCTGAGACCTCTGGTGACCCCTGGTTCCTATCACCACCCCTGTGACAAATCTGAGACCTCTGGTGACCCCTGGTTCTGGTGACCCCTGGTTCCTATCACCACCACTGTGACAAATCTGATACCTCTTGTGACCCCTGGTTCTCGTGACCCATGGGTTCCTATCACCACCACTGTGACAAATCTGAGACCTCTTGTGACCCTGGTTCTGGTGACCCCTGGTTCCTATCACCACCACTGTGAAAAATCTGAGACCAATGGTGACCCCTGGTTCTGGTGACCCCTGGTTCCTATCACCACCACTGTGACAAATCTGATACCTCTGGTGACCCCTGGTTCTGGTGACCCCTGGTTCCTATCACCACCACTGTGACAAATCTGAGACCTCTGGTGACCCTGGTTCTGGTGACCCCTGGTTCCTATTACCACCACTGTGACAAATCTGAGACCTCTAGTGACCCCTGGTTCTGGTGACCCCTGGTCCCTGTCAACACCACTGTGACAAATCTGAGACCTCTGGTGAACCTGGTTCTGGTGACCCCTGGTCCCTATCAACACCACTGTGACAAATCTGAGACCTCTGGTGAACCTGGTTCTGGTGACCCCTGGTTCCTATCACCACCACTGTGACAAATCTGATACCTCTGGTGACCCCTGGTTCTGGTGACCCCTGGTTCTGGTGACCCCTGGTTCTGGTGACCCCTGGTTCCTATCACCACCACTGTGACAAATCTGAGTTTCTCTTTAATGCAGCATTTCACATCAAAACACTCTGAAGCGTTTGTTCATGAGTGAATTATGCAGAAATTCTGAAAAATCTCTGGATTTCCCCTTTGATTAGTGTTATATAAGCTCCGGTGCAAAATGAAAAAGCAAACCGACGGACTAAATATACATAAAGGTTTCTGCCAAACTGTTCCTTTAAAGTTCTACAGGACACTGAAGGCAGAAAGAGCCGTGTGGGGCCTCGTACTCTAGAGGCTCGTTCATGTATAGTGTTGTTACCTGGCTGATGACATACTGCAGTGAGTCAGACTGCAGGACGATGCTTTTGAGCATGCTGGCCTTGCAGGGCACCAGGCCTTTATAGAGAGCGGGCGTGTAGCACCTGAGAGCATATCTTAAATCGCTGGAGTTGCGTCTCTCTTCAAGAATATCCTCAAAGTCATCCCTCTTCTTCAGCACTGGGTCCCTGGCCTACCAGACAAGACACATTAGGGACATAAAAAGGGCGTTTATGGAATATTATAACTGCTAAAGGACCGCAGTCATGCAGAAAGAACAGAGGCACACGTTTTAGTTCACATTCACCTTGATGAAATGAATGACGCAGAACCAGAGATCACAGATTCTTTAGAAATACAGGTTAGTGGTCTTCAGTACCAGCTAAACAAACCAATATGAAAAGATGAAAAGGTGTTCTGAAGTTTGTTTCTGCCACAGAGAAAAAATATCCAGCCAATCATAAGAAAAGTCTTGATTATTATGAGATAGCAAGTCATAAGTATGAGACTGTAAGTCACATGACTTAGTATTTCATAATTAATACACTGTATCTCTATCATGACCTCCTATCTCACAGCAACGAGATGACTTACACTCTCATAATTATCACTTGCTGTCTTTTACTAATGAGATTCTGTTTCATAATTATGACTTGCTATATTGAAATGATGAGATCTCATAATACAGAGGAAGTATCTCATAACTATGACTTACTATATCATCTCTATGACCACGCATTTCAAAATTATGACTTAGCATCTCATAACTAAGAGATAATACCTTATAATTACAACTTAGGGTCTTATAATTATGACTTAGTATGCCATAACAATGACTTAGCACCTCATAACTATAAGACATCTCATAATTAATATAAGTATGACTTAGTATCTCATAATTATAACTCCCTCTCATAATAATAAGATTCTATCTCATAATTAGGACTTAATATATCATAATTTTGACTTGCTATCTCATAATAATGAGATCCTGCCTCACAATTATGACTTAGTATCTCTTAATTATGACATGTTACCTTTTAATAATGAGATCTCATAGCATAGAGAAAAAAGTCTCATTCTTATGAGACAGTAAGTCATGAATATGAGACATTAAGTCAGAATTATGAGATACTAAGTCATAATACAGGGAGAATGCAACAAGTAATGGAAGTCTCTGTCACCCAAAATCTTTTTTTTTACTTATGTAATATTAGCTTCATATGTCCAGTGGGCAAACTGTGGATGCCAAACAGGTCCAACCCACTACATTTGCTGTAGGGGGAATATTGTGTAAATCAGAATTTTTGTTGAACCATTTCTTTGAGGGGGCAACACGGTGGCGCAGTGGGTAGCGCTGTCGCCTCACAGCAAGAATGCCCTGGGTTCGATTCCCGGCCAGGTGACTAGGGTCATTTCTGTGTGGAGTTTGCATGTTCTCCCCGTGTCTGCGTGGGTTTCCTCCCACAGTCCAAAAACATGCAGTCAGGCTGATTGGACATGCTGAATTGCCCCTAGGTGTGAATGTATGTGTGATTGTGTATGTCTGTCTGTCTGTCTGTCTGCCCTGCGATGGACTGGCGACCTGTCCAGGGTGTATCCTGCCTTCCGCCCAATGACAGCTGGGATAGGCTCCAGCACCCCACCACGACCCAGAAGGATAAGCGGTTTAGATGATGTATGTATGTATGTATTAAAAAGAGCTGAAGGGGAGCTCCACCAACGTTTCAAAATTTGTGCACAATTAAATGGTTAACATGTCAAAAAGTCAGTGAGAGTGGTTTGGTGTGAAATGCTTCATTCTAGAGAAACTTGCAGAACCAGAATTGTTCACAGTGGTGGTGACAGGAACCAGACGCTGATGAGCTGAATGCATCTAAAATCTCCCTCATGGTGGTTATGAACACTGCCTGATGCTCGAGACAAAGTTTTACAGTAGTTTTGTGATACGGTTTTTGGTCTAAAAGGTATTTTAATCAATTTATTTTAATCCATTCGTGGTGAAGGAATATAAGAAAGGTGTTCCAAGGCAAATGATGTATTTTCCAATACTTCACCATCATCAATATCACATACAAAAACCCAGAAGACACGTGTAGGTTCACTGGTGATTTGGGATAGTAAATAGAATGGCTATATTTGTGTTGACCCCTGGTTCCTATCACCACCACTGTAAAGAAATCTGTCTCTGCAAGTTTCTCTACAGTGAACCTTTTCACATCAGACCACTCTGAATGACTCTGTTTACATCTCAACCACTGAATTATGCAGAAATTCTGGAAAATCAGTGGAATTCCCCTTTAAAGTGGGTCATTCAATCATTGAGTGCCCTGCAAGTATGCAAGTTAACTCAGGCTGCAGTGACAGCAGCTGTCATTCATGCATGTTACTCACCGAATAGAGTGATTTAGACGCCATGCCGATTCAGGACGTCGAACAAAAGCATGAGTGAGGGGTCAGCTGGCCAGCTACAATGACCTAAACCCACAGCGGAGAGTCTTTAGGGCTCAAATAGACGCCTTACAGCTGGATCCACATGGGTGTTGTCACTAAAAACACAAGGCCATTCTCTTCCTCTGTGAAACGCGAAGCTCTGTACGGTGGCCGGGAGAGGACACGGCGCCGCCTACGGAAGCCTGAGCATGTTTACACGTGTTTAGCGAGACGTTTCTGGATTTAACACTTTATAGCGAAGTTTTTATCTAATTAAAATGAAGCGAAACAGAGAGGAGAGCGGAGAGGAGGGCGACGTGGACCAGGACTTTTTGGACCGAGTTCTGAACCAGCTGTATGATTTCGGTTAGTGTTCACTGAAGCTGAAGTCGGCTTCTGGTTCGAATTTTCCGTTCCACCTTAAATGGTGCAGCAGTTGCATTCTGGCGCTTCAGGCTCTAGAATGGAACCGCTGCACCATTTAAGGTGGACCGGGAAAATTGGAACAAGAAGCCGACTGGCTAACGTTAGCAATATTATAGCGTGTTTTTTTTATTCAGTCTTTATTTCTGTCTTTTTAGTTCAGTTCTATGTTGTTTTGCTTCTCTATTTTTCGTGTACTTTTTTATTCTATATTGTTCGTTTTATATGATTTAGTTTGTTTTTAGCGAGGACTTATGTTGCTGTTTTATAGTTGGTTCATTTTTATATTGTACTGAATTAGTTATTTTTGTTTATTTTATTGTTTTATTCAGCTTTCATATCTGCCGTTTTAATACAGTGTTTAATGTTGTTTTTATTCTGTATTTTTCCTGTCATTTTTAATATTTTTTTTAGGGAGGACTTTTATAGTAGTTAGCGTTTATGTTGTTATTTTGTAGTTAGCTTTTTTTTAGATTTTACTGATTTAGTTATTTTGTATTTATTTTATAGTCATTTTATTTTACGGCTTTTGTGTAGTTTAGTGTATGTGGTACTGTTTGTATTTTGAAAATAAAATTTATATATGTAGTTTTCAAAACTTGTGGAGAATAAAAGCTATAAAATAAAACTATACAGCTTAACTATAAAATAGCCTAATTAATAAAATATATGAACAAAAATAACAAAATAACAGCATAAAAAAATTTTACAATTTTTTTTATCTTCTATCAGCATTTTATGGGCTTGAAAAAAAAATACCTTATGTGCATTAGGCTTATTCAAACGTCAGACATCAGACATTTCTCACTGTGCTTGGATTCTTTTAATTAATTTTAATGATTTTTTTTTCTTTTAATTTTATTTTTATTTTTATCTATGTGTTTTAGTAAGTATTATTTTGTTTTAGTTTACTATAATAACCCTGCTATTTACTACTAACCCATTCTGACCAGCAGTGGGCAGTTTACTTTAATCTGCATCATACCTTTCTGCAGTAATTTTATTTCTGATCAATACACTGTGCTTTGGTCAGTCCCTCTGTGATGACAGCACAGCAGTGTTTGCTTATAAACTGAGTTGTATCAGCATCAAACTGAGGGCTGAGTAGAGCTGTTCTCTGGAGGACAGTCCGCCTCCTTGCCTTTTGGTCAGACGACGACTCTTACACAGTTTATCTCATAATACGTTCCCTCACACAGAGCTTCCTAAAATCCTCACTGGACCAGCAGCTTACTGTGATTTACTTAAAACCTCATGTTGATGGACAAAAACATTTGTCTCTAATCTGACTCCTGTTGAGGCTAAAGCTGAATTTCATCTGTGCATCTGGCAAAAAAGGAAAGCAAAGGAAACAGTAACTCTAGTGTAGTTTGGAAGTAGACAGGATTCTCACTATATCAGTTTTACTTGTGTGAAGGAGAAGAATTTCTGTTAGTGTAACTGGGGCTTAATCAGTGTGAGTAAAAACTAACCCCAATGTTTGTGTTTCTGCCTGGTTAGGAGACGGAGCGAAAGGCAAACGATCAAAGAAAGGGCATAAAAAAAGGAAAACGGGTAACGATGAGGAGGACACGGCAGTGGAGGAAGAGGCTTCTAATGATGAGTCCAGTAGTATAAACGACAAAGCAGATTTAAATGACATGAAAGGTGCAAACCGTGATGAGAGGATCCCCACGTCTACATCGTCAGACTCCACATCCAAAAGCACGACAACATCAACAGTAGAGATTGTTACTTTCCAGGATCCACTAAAGACGAAAAAATTAAAAAAGGCTGTCGAACCTGAAGTTAAAGTAAGTAGTAATCAATATTCACTCATTGGCCACTTTATTAGAAACACCTTTAACTTCCACTCACTGGCCACTTTATTAGAAACACCTTTAACTTCCACTCACTGGCCACTTTATTAGAAACTCCTATCATATACTTCCAGTCACTCGCCACTTTATTAGAAACACCTACCGTATACTTCCACTTACTGGCCATTTTATTAGAAACACCTACCTTTTGCTTCCACTCACTGGCCACTTTATTAGAAACACCCACCCTGTACTTCCACTCTCTGGCCACTTTATCAGAAACACCTACCTTATACTTCCACTCATTGGCCACTTTATTAAAAACACCTACCTTATCGGTATCAACAGAAGGGGTACCATCTCTTACTGTACACCAGGAGGGTGGAGCTTTCTAATAAAGTAGTCATTCAGTGTGTTTCTCAGGATTATGTCTTAATAATGCATTTTTTCTTTATGTCTTGTTTTTTGCTGTCATCACTGCTTTTTTTTGTGTCATTAGCCACCTGAAGTAAAAGACAAAAAGAAAAATGACAAAAAGGACCCAGATGACTTTCTAAGCATAGAAAAGGTAATAATATTTTGAATGAAAATTAAACACCTTATTATAAAACCTGTGCCTTAAGTGAAATGCATTGATTAAGCCTGGACTAAATGACCATGAATAATGATTCTGCATTGGAAATCCATTCTGTTCTACCGATAAGTTTGATCTGTCTTCTGAAAATCACATGTTGGGGTCATTACAGCCAAATAAATCATCTGCCTTCATGTAACGTCTTTGTTTTTGTCCTTTTCCTAAAGGCCCGGCTGGAGGTGCACCGGTTTGGAATCACAGGGTTTCAGAAAGAGCAGCAGAGAGTTTTCGAACAGGATAGAGCCATAATGCTGGGAGCCAGAGTGAGTCAGAGACAAGGGCACTACAGCCTGATCCCAAATCGGGAAAATGAACCACAGAACCATTTACACAGTAGTGCAATATAAACAATAAAACAACACACTAGGCTTGTTCTTTGGGGTTTTTATATTTGAAAATAGACTATTAGAAGATTTTATTTTGGCCAAAATGAGCATATAATCATTTATCGCTGTACAGATCAGTAATAAGTGTGTAATAATATGGTAATATTATGGTAACCAGCTGTACTGACCTACAAATTACATGCTAATTTCCTACTTGGTAGTAAAAAATGAGTTAATAACTGTAGTGGTAACCCAGATAATAATGCATCGATTTATTGTTATGGTCCAACCTTGAACACGTCCCATAGACACTGCAGCCTGAGAGCATGCACGATGCAGGAGTGCAGAGAAGTCAAGTTCAAACGATCCAGTCTGCTAATTCCAGCTAGTGCCTTTCGGCTAGTAGCCTAATTGAATTAGTAGTTGCTCTCAGAAGAGCAGTGTGTTTAGATCTAAAGTGCTCTTAGAGTCCCTTTTTAGTGTTTCTGCTCTCTGAAGTGTGAATGAAGACTCACAAGCTTAATCTGGAGATAATCAGAATATCAACTGTGATGTTTTTGCCCTTTTAGCCTCCCAAGAAGGACTATGTGAATTACAAAGTGTATCAGCAAATGATAAAGGAGAAGAGGTTGAAAGAAAAGGAGGAGGCGAAACAATCGGTAAGTTAGACATTCAGTAAGACTTTTCATGTGTTTGATACGGTGCAGTGTGCATGTCTCTATGTTTAAAGGAACATGTCGTTTATTGCACGCAAACGACAGCTCTTAATCCTGGTACTCACACTGTGTATGGTATATCGACTAATTATTATGTGCTTTTTCCCAGGAAACCCAGGGAAAGAAGAGAAAAGGTGGAAAACCTGGAAAACAAAAGTACGTACCTTTCAAACACTGCCATCCATTAGGATGTTTAACGTGTGTAAAAGCGCTGTGCTGCACTGTCAGGTGTTCATGTAGTGCTAACTGGTGTTAACTGAAACCACACTAAAGGCAATAAATTGATAAAGCGATGTTTTAGTGAAAAATCAAAAATGCATTTTCCCCACTCACCACAAATGTGGTCAGTCAGCCAAAATGTGTTTGGTTTAGTTTTGAACTGGAGCTACAGGGAACTAAGTAACTGGAGCTTATAGCCACCAGAGTAGCACTGTGCAAACTAACTTTATCATCACTGATTTCAACCACAGCTGTGACAGAAGAACACCTAAACAGCCTGGAATCAGCCAGAAATGAACCGAATACCATTCGCCAAACTAAATGGGCTCTAAGATGCTTTACAGACTGGCTGGAACAAAACAACATTAATATTGATCTGGAAACATTGACAAAACTGAGCTAAACTTGATATTGTGGCAGTTTTACAGCTCAGTCCGATTTGGTCAGACTCTGAAGATCAGACTACACGTTTGCCGAATGTTATTGGGTTAATTTCTGTCTGATTCCAGGTTGTTTAGCTGTTCTTCTGTCACAGCTGCCGACTGAAAAGCTGCTCAGTGGTGATGACAGTTTGGGAATTTAGTGTAGGGAGCTGGAGAACGAACTGCCGGCTGTGCAGCGAGTGGGCGGAGTTCGTTACTCTGATGTAGCAACAAGCTGCTCGTTAAGGAACTATAATTTGGTGGAAGGAACTGCGAACATTAAAACATATTAAACGCGCGTTCACGGCCCAGTTTATTAATTTATTACTGTATTTATTTAACTGTTGTATAAAAGCAACAGAACACTTGAGGGAGTGTGTCATCACGAATAACACACTCCCTCAAGTGTTCTATTGCTTAAATACACAGCCATCCGCAGCTGGGATGTCAAGATTGTCCTCACTCTCTGTGGGTGGCTAGGATGGTCAGCGTGATGATGCCCACCTTGGGCATCTGTTAGCCAATGTAAAAAAAATTAGCAGTTAGCTTCGTCCTCCAAGTGTGTTGATCTGTCCAGTGTCGGTGCCTTAGCAGCATTTTGAAAAAAGCTCGGTAGCATCGGGTGACGGGGAGACTGGCGGGAGGAAAGCTAGCGGAAGGGAACAGTATGGAGCCCCTAAGGGGGCGTGGTTTGAAAAACATTGCGTTCACTTGGCATAATTTTGCATTCTTTCACAAATACAGTGGGTTTTGCGAGGGAGTGCAGAAATAATGCAAGGGAGCGCTACGCTGTGTACAATTGACCATGACTAAATAAGGGAGGGAGGGCAGAGGAGTGTCATATTGCTAAATAGACAGTAGTAGTGGCCATGTTGATGCCCGAATTTGGGTCAGTATGTTTGTTCATTTTTACTCCAAAGTGTTTAGTTATGCAGTTTGCTTCATACTTCCATTACTTATTAGCAACTTTAGCCTCATAGCTACAGCACAACACCTGCTGAACCTCTCTACAGTGCTATTTGTGCTTCTTGTGGTGCTAATTATATGCGTAAAAGCGTTCTTTTCTCAGTAAATGTAGGTTTTTGCAACATCCAGGTATCACTAAGCAGTTTTTCCGCTAAGGTTGAAAGGAAAAAAGCTTTGTCGACGTGTCATAAAATACAGGGTGATTCAAAAAGATTCATCCAATTTCAAAATGATTTATTTCACATGTAAATCATTACAGAACAGTGCAGTAAACTGTAAATGGTTTAAATGAGCATAAAGTTTATTATGTAATTGTACAAGGTCTCAGTATGAACCTCCTCCAGCTGTACGGACATCAACGCCACAGTCAAATTCATCCCAGACTCGATTGAGCATGTTGGGTGACGCTGCACTCACGGCTCTTTACATGCGATTTCAAAGATCATCCAGTGTTGTGGAACCAACGACGAACGCTCTGAGCTGTTGGAGGTTCACTGCTGATGTAAATCACGCTGCACAGTTATGCACAGAGATTCACTCTTGTTGAAGAGGAGAACACAAAGCGCTTTCTGCTCAGGGGTCTCATTTCCTCTCAGACTGAAGGGAGCCATCTTCTGGTGACAGTCAGAAACTCTATGACCCCCTCTTTCAATTGGATTGTGATTGGTTCCTCGGCACCTCACAGTTATAAAAATATGGCGCTTTGAAATTGGATGAATCTTTTTGAATCAACATGTATTACATGCGGTTTCCCCCTCAATAGGCCACATTGAGACGCTTTCTTATACATTACTGTATGGTGGCATGCACACGGTCCTGTATGTGTTTAGTGATTATTTCCTTTTCCTGGTTTGTAGGACTGAGAAGCGCAAGTCCAGCTCCTCCGGCAGCGAGCCGACAGGACAAGTGGGGCGCTTTAAGAACGGCATGCTGGTCCTGAGCAACAAAGACATTCAGAAATTAAAGGTCAAAGTGAGAAAGTGACAAACTGCCCGCTGCCCTGACCTGCGTGAATGTGACTGAGCCGGCACTGGGACATCACTGTGGGAATATGCAGCGTGCCGCAATGAATTATTTAGTGCGTGTTCTGTAATTTTGATGAATATGGGGACTGGATGAAAAATGTGCTTGTATGTGCAACATTCATAGAGTGTTTGTGAAGCACTACATGTAAAAATGCTTTCCGTACAGCAGAGAGAAAAAAAGTACTTCATTTCCAGTGAAAACAGCCGTTTTTACCGTTATCCATTTTTCAGGTTCTGGAAAAAAACAACACAAAGTAACACAGAGACCTCAACAACTAAATATAATACCACATCTTTCAGTATTTAGGGTGTCCACTCTTTATTACAGCTTCCATTCTATTCAGGAGACTCGCTGACTTAATGGGGAATTCCACCAAATTTTTAGAATTTCAGCATAATTAAATGGTCTGATGTGAAATGCTCTGTTCTAGAGAAACTTGCCGAGTAGAATCGTTCACAGTGGTGGCGACAGGAACCAGACGTCTGAAAAGTTCAACTGCTTTAAACACTTCCTCACACAGAGTTATTACATGTAATGCTTGAGTACTCGACCGATAGTTTTGAGACAAACGTTTGGCCTAAAATGTATTTTCTTTCAATACATTAACGGCACAGATGAAAATGCACCGTAAACCAAAACAGTCCATCATCCTTTTTCTGTCACCACCATTACAAACAAAAACTTGTAGACATCAAGACACCTGGTTCCTATCACCACCACTGTAACGAAATCAGAGTCGGTAAGTTTCTCTAAGTGAATCTTAATTTCACATCGAACCACTCTGACCTTCTTTACATCTTACTGATTGAATTTTGCTGAAAATTTTACTTTCAGACTCGCTTTCAGTTTTTCAAAGAAACCTGCAGGGATGTTTGTTTTAGAAGTTGCATTTCTGCTTCTTTTCAGATCTGAAGCAGCTTGATTTTCTCCTCTCTGTCAGAGATGAAAGCTTTAAGTGCTGTTTATCTGATGGGGACAGTTTTGGTGGTCTAACAGTTGTTATATGGTTGTAATGTATTAATGGCCATTTTGACTCAAAATTAAAGGGCCCATATCATGACATTTAACACTGAACTATCCTGAATTATCCTCACCTTTTTAAATAAAAAAGTATGTAAACACTGCAGAATTTTCCAAAAGAAAAGTGCAATTCATTCCTCAATCCATATAATAAATGGAAACTAAGCTGCGAAAACAGACTGTTTTGAATTCACTGTTTTTGTGATGTCATACATCCACCTGTTCACCCTACAGCAGGTTAGCACAGAAGTCCAGAGGGGCCATGAGCTGTTGCTGTAATTTTCTGGATTGTTGTCTTGAGATAATGAGTTAATTAACTCGTTATCTTAAGATAACAACTTTTGTGATCTCGAGATCACAAGATAATAAACTCATTTTCTCAAGATAGCAACTTTTATCTCGAGATAACAAGATAACTTATTTCCAGATAACAATTTTGTTGACTTGTGATCACAAGATAATGGACTTGTTATCTCAAGATAATAACTTTTGTTATCTTGAGATCAGAAGATAATTAACTCGTTATCTCAAGATAACAATCCAGAAACTTCTAACTACCTTATGGCCTCTCTGGACTTCCTACTCGTTCACACTGCAGCTATAAGGAGTGTTCCAGTCTGGACTGCCTTTTGAATGAGGCACAACACAGAGCAGCCAATCAGCTCTGTCACATTTGCATATATCAGTCTTAAAGGCACAGTAACAAAAACAGCCTGTTTAATTCTAAGGGGTGAAGAGAGGTTTGAAAATGGTCATATAGAAAGGAATGATGACCAATTTTGGTACCTGAACCCACACAAATGTCTTCAGTGGACTGAAAGGAAAACAAATTGAAGAGAACTGTAAGATGTGGGTCTTTTACATAAATGAAATGTGCTCTCTGGCTTTTGTGCCTTCCTGTATCTGTGCTACCGTTTTGCCATCACAGTGTCGATCATTTACGAAAAGGAGGTGCTGTGGTGTGAAAAAAACAGCAGATTGATACAATGTGATTTTTCTTTAATATACAAACCACAGAGAAGTACAAAACGTTCACATTGGCAGGAGGAAAGAAGAAACCACACACAGTAGCTTTTAGAAAAAGGAGGGGGAGAAAAAGCACAGCATCTAAAACGCACTCACATCCACTCGGATTTCCCTAGAGGGCTCAGCACGGCTGTGTTGAGATTAATGGCCTACTTCTGTTATGGCGCGGTACGTAGAGAGGTTATACGGCTCCCCAGGGCCGCGTGCGCGGCTGCTTTGTCTGATATTTCGGATGAAAAAGATCTCTTTTAAAGCCAGTAGAGCGCTCGCACACGGCGCAACACGGACTGCAGAGTCAGACGAATCTCCATTTTACTGTGATGTACATGTACAAATCAATAAAAGCTAATGTTGACTTAAAGGGGAATTCCACCAAATTTTCAAAATTTTTGCATGATTAAATGGCTAAGGTGTTGACAGATTCACTCAGTGTTTTGATGTGAAATGCTCTGTTCTAGAGAAACATACCGAGTAGAATCGTTCACAGTGGTGGTGATAGGAACCAGACGTCGGAAGAGTTTAACTACTTTAAACACTTCCTCACAGAGAGTTATTACATATCGATGCTGTTAGAACGAAACCTCATATCTCCAAAATGGTAACTTTACAGGAGAATGAAAAAACATACTTTACTTTTAATGTAAGTCAATGGAACCAGACGTCTTTGCAAGTTGTTTTGGGCTGTTTCTTTTGGTCCATTCATCATGAAATTTACACACAATGTAAAGAGCAACACGCGTTTTCACATTCTGTCAAAAACTGAAAAATGACAAAAATGGGGATACAAAGTTTTGTTCCGTCATCAGCGATATGCTTATGAGTACACGGCCTAATGACACTGTTTTATGATAGTTTTGAGACAAAATTAGCCTAAAATGTATTTTTTCAACACATTAATGGTGCAGATGTAAATGCATTGCAAACCAAAACAGTCCATCATCTTTCTTTGTCATCACCATTACATATAAAAACTTGTAGACATCAAGATACCTGGTTCCTATCACCACCACTGTAAAGAAATCAGTCAGTAAATTTCTCTCAAAAGAATTTGAATTTCACATCAAACCACCCTGACTGTGTTTACATCTTACTGTTTGAATTATATGGCCAATTTTTTAAAATTGGTGGAATTCCCCTTTATTAACGAAATAGTCTGGGGAAGAAACAAATGTGTACAATTTTCTCCTTATCCCAAATGTGGTCGATCAGCCAAGATGTTTGGTGTCAGAACATGAAACATTTTTAGCTTAGGACAAAAAAGTACGTACTTAACTCAAACTTCTGTCTGATTTATACGGCTATTTTTAGCTTTTGTCCATTTTCATAGATAAAAGTGTGCCAGAAACCACAAAAGCAGGTCTATCTGAGATTACCTGGCAACTTTGACCCAAGTGGGAAGATTCAGGAATGCAGTTTGCACAATGCTAACTGATTCACATAAGCTTCCATTACTTATTAGCAACATTAGCCTTGTATCTCCAGCGCAAAACGACAGAATGAGAAGACTTTAGACACCAAACTAGTCAGACTGTATTGGGGCTTAACGGTGAACTAAGTCAGTGTTTGTGCACCAAACTATCCCTTTAAATTGGCGTCTCCAGTAGTCAGTCTAATTCCAGCACCGTGAAACATAGAAAATCTAACATTGTTTGTTCTTTTTCATCAGGGAAGGAGCTCTTATTATTTCAGACGTGCCAATCACACCCCTGCTGTTAATATCATTACACTGTTCACAGCCACTGCAGACGCTCTGAACTTGTTCCTGTGAATTCCTGTCATGTTCTCGGTGCCTTTTTAGAAGACGGCAAGTGTGCTTTCAGTAAACTATGCAATCTGTGGCGCTTTCTCTGCTCGGTACGCTGAAGCTGTCTATGAATTGCGGTCTAGCACTGTGATCACCTACTGAGCCTGGGATGCTAACGGGTCTGAGGCCATATGGGCCTCTAATTGAAACCCTGCTGTTAATTAAGAACGCCTCAGTCTCAAGACGAGCCGCTGTAGGTCATCTCTCTTGTCCATAAAGGCTGTTCTAGGGCTAAAGAACATTCAAGATGCTCAAGTGCCTGAAGGAAAGCTATTTTAGCCCAGACTTCTCTCTCGAGCTGTGCGCATTAGGTCTTACTAATCTCTTATTAAACCAGAGCTGCTTTAAAGGAAGACTCTAGCATCTTTCAAACCTGATCTCTGTGTGTTACACCTGCCTCGTATTATTGATCATATCAGATTTTGAGTTTGCTGCACTGCCCTGTGATTAGAATAGAAGAGAAAACCTGCTCACTTTAAACTCGCTTATAATAGAAGTCAATGGGCAGTTGCTGAATTCCGCGAATAAATGTCTGAAATCTGTGACTGTACTGCGCAAATTTGAACTGTGACAGGTTACGATAGAATGTCTTAGCAAAGATCTGGTGGGCTTTTATCCACAGTGAGACGGGTGGTCACTTTGGCATGTTAACTTGGTTCAGTCCCACTGAGTTTAAGCAATACTCCAGCAATTTTCAGCTTAATCTCTATTTGTTGAATATATAGAACAACTGGCACAATTTAGACTCATTTTGTTGTACTTAGTAAAAGAACAGAACAAAACCTCGTATCTTTTTTAGGACAAGCAAGAAACCTCAGTTTTCAATGTAAGTTAATGTAACAAAATTTTATTTATTTTGGACCATTTTAAGTAATTTTGGGCCATTTCTATTGGTCCATTCATCATGGTCAGATGGTAGCTTGCATTTTCAAAATATGTAAAGAAAAAAGAAACTGTCCAAACAGTGACAGTATTCATAGTAGATTCCAATGGGCAGACGGTGAAGCAACTGCCCATAGACTTCTAATGTAAATGTGTTTGACGCGTCATGTTTTCTGTTCTATTCTACAAACTGACAAACATTCCTGAATTATTGTCTGTAATAATCAGCCATACGCTACATGTGTGACAGAGATTAGGTTGAAAAATGCCGGAGTGTTTCTTTAAGCATATCTTTTTGAATGTCCAGTTCAGACTTTCAGTTCATTGATCGTGGTTTGGGGCGTGAATACAAAAAAGGGGAAAGATCTCATTGAAATGGCTCTGGCTGGGCGGCTTCTGCTTGCGCTAGAAGGCCGGACCCTCCCTTTTGGTCAAGATCTAGAGGGAAGAGGGGGCGCCAAAACTTTTTCACACAGAATGACGGCCGCAAATACTTGGGGAGCATATTAGCAGCGATGGGGTTCCAGACGTCTCATCCAAACTTCAGTTATTGCATAACTCGATTTCTTTCACCTTTCATCTGATCAGACGACCGATGTGCTGATTAGCCTGAAGAGCGGTCAGTTTTACAGCTGATTACACCAACACTTACATATCATCGCATAAGACTATTTACAAATCGCGCATCTTTCGAAATGTGTTCAGGAAACTCCCATCCATATTCCTACTTGCCACTATTATTATTATTATTATTATTATTATTATTATTATCATTCTTATTATTATGGTTGTTGTACCAGATGAAGATCTCCCTGCAGTTCACCTTTCACAGAAGAGGTATTAGAACTAATAAAAGAGCTTAGATTTTTTAAATTGCATTGTTTATATATCATTTAATTAAACAATTCACTGCAAATATTTGGTATTCGACTTTACGGAAAAGTCTCAGGACTAATAACGGGACTGTACTGTATTTTCTTTTGCATTTGACTGTGATATTACTGTACTAAAGGTTTGTTCCTGCAGTCCCAAACCCAAACACTAGAGGGCAGACACCTCCATCTTCCATTTGATTACACTATATACAACACATGTTTAATATAAGACTGTAAACCTCATGCTGGGGGCGTACTGGCTCCACTGGTTTGTCCGTATTTACAGCTGTATACCATGCAGAAAACAACCTTAGCGTATTTCTCACAATACCTTTTAACTATACAAGAACAAGAAGTCTTTTTCCATCATTTGGAAATCATACAAGGGAAAACAAGGTGAGAAATTAAACATACAGTAACATAAAGAATATCTGCAATAAGTTGATAAATTCTACTATATGGAATGTTATTCACTTCTTACATATGTATCACAGTGTGAAAGACTTCAGTCTTAAATGCTGGCTAAACGTTGACTGGATATGGCGTATAATTTCAAGCAGCAAAGCAATTTTTCTTTTTTTTCTGTCACGTATAAGTAAGTCATCACATCCGTCCTTAATCACCTTCGCTTGGCCGCTTGGACTTTTTGGCAAGAGTCGTGTAAACATTCCAAGCGTCTTGACTCACGGACTCAGTTGTGCAGTTAATGGTACAGTTGTGCAGCACGTTTTCAGAGTACCAGACCATGTTTTTATGGATGGACACCACAAATAATGACGTCTTGGCAAGAAAAGAAGCTTCAATCTAGTCCAGTTATCTAATATTTCTCATTATGAGACTCTTGGAAGAGCAAGATTAATCCAATTAATTCCAGATGTTTTACTTGTTTTAAGTCGTTTTATCTAAAGTAACCGGAGATTCATTTGTCAATTATTGTTTCAAACATTATTTCTTGAAATAAGCAAAATTATCTGCTTAATTTAATGAAATAGCCTCTGTAAATGGAACTCTTAGAAAAAAGGGTTCTATAAAGCACCCAATATGCAAAAGTTTATGCTTCCCTGGTCAAACTAAATGTTTTGTTGATTTTCTATGTGAAAATAAGTTGAAACATCCTCTACAGGGAACTAAAATATGGCATTTTTCTATAGTGCACATTTTTTTTATTTGTTAAATTTAGCATATTGGGGAAAAAATAAAACAAAACATTCAAATGTGCCAAAACTTTTGCACAGATCACACAGACCATATTTTTTATGTTCAGTTCACTAAATAAACAGTAATTGTGCATTAAAATGTGCAGATGTGTTCTCTGTAGAGGACGTGCTAACAAAATATCATTAGACTAGGGGTGCCAAAACTTTTGCACACAGCTGTAGAACCATATACAACAGGTTTTCCATCATGGAGAACCATGCAAATAACCATTTAAACATAATGACTGTTCTTGTGAATGTTCACGGTTCTACATACAATGGGTGCCTTTACTAAACCCTTTGAAGAAGCTCTACTTTAAAGGCGAGTAAGACAATTAGAAAAAAGTACTTAAAGCAATACATCTAGAAATAAGCTGTATAATCTTATAATATTCTTCCTGGAATCTCAGAAAGAGAAATATTAAATATACTGGCAACATTTTAAAGGCATTTCCACCGTTTTTCCAAGATTTCAGCATAAATCAGTCTCATTTGTAGAGAAACTCAGATTTCTTTACAGTGGTGCTGATAGGAACCAGGGGTCATGATGTTCACAACACAAACGAAGCCTTTTATTTACTATCCAAAATGACCAGTGGACCCTTAAAAAAGACGGTTCTTTAGAGGTTCTTTAGTAAAGAAAACGGTTCCATATAGAACCATGAACTCTCAAAGAACCCTTTGCATGATTAAATGCATGAAAGATGAAAAAAGATTGATGGAGAATCTGCTTTTTTGAAAATTGTTCTACATAGCACCAAATGAGGTTCTTCTACTGTAACGACATCAAGCTTGTAACAATAGAAGAACCCTTTTCAAAAAGGTTCTATGTAGAATCATCTACAGCACATTCTCCATCAATCTGAAGAACCCTTTCATGAAGCAAAGAACCCTTTAAGAGTTCATGGCTCTATATAGAACCATTTTCTTTACTAAAGAACCCATAAAGAACCATCTTTTTTAAGAGTGCTGATTATGATAAAATAGTGGTAAATGTAAAGTCTTTAGGGACTATTTTGCCTTAGAATGCCTCACATGTACTCCTCCACCACGTACTCCTCCACCATGTACTCCTCCACCACGTACTACTCCACCATGTACTCCTCCACTATGTACTCCTCCACCATGTACTCCTCCACCATGTACTCCTCCAAAACATACTCCTCCACCCTGTACTCCTCCACCACGTACTCCTCCACCACATACTCCTCCAAAACATACTCATCCACCATGTACTCCTCCAAATGTATTTTTTTTTTTAAAAATATGTTTTTTGCCAAATTATTGTACTAACTATCATAAAACTATTGTAAAACATGTCTGAGGCTTCAGGCAGTGAATGTATAACCTCTTCATGTAATAACTTTCTATGAGGGAGCTTTTAGAGGCATTTTAGAGGCCTCAGACGTCTGGTTCCTATCACCACCACTGTGAACAATTCTGACTCTGTAAGTTTCTCTAGAATCATTTAAAAATGACTGTATTTATATCTTAAGCAGATCTTTTTCAAAAACCAATGGAGTTCCTCTTTAAGATGATTTCTCTTGCCAATACACCATGTTTTGCAGTGCAACATCAGTTTTCCACACACAGATAGAGCCCAGTACTCAACTAAAGGGAATTATCATCAGAGAAGCTCCACTGGCAGTGTAAAAATGTCTTATCTGTGTCTGGACCACCGGCCAACTGAGGATTCGTTAAACCTGAGATTTTGCGTAAAATTACAAAAAGTGGTACCTTGGCAAGGAAAAGCGTCTTAAATGTAGGGAATAAGTCTAATACCTCTCATTATGAGCTTTCTGTTACAGTGCTATTCAATTATTCAACCAATTTAAGCAGTTATTTAAAAAAAAATGATCTGCCAGTGCAGTGAGATCACTGTACTTGAGAAGATCACTTTATATGAGTGAAAATGTAATTGGACATCGTATTAAAAGATATCACTGCTGTCAGAACAAAACCTCCCGTCTCCAAAAATGTAACTTTACAGGAGATGGAAAAAACATGCTTCACTTTTAATGCAAGTCAATGGAACCAGACGTTTTTCCAGGTCATTTTGGGCCGTTTCTTTTGGTCCATCCATCATGAAATTTACACACAATATAAAGGGAAAAAGCCATTTTCAAATTATGTAAATACCTAAAAAATGACCAAAATGGAGATAGAAAGTTTTGTTCCAACAGCACCACTACACTGTCTAATACAACAATGTTGTAACGAGAAATATCCGATATTCCCTACATTTAAGATTCTTTCACTTGCCAACATACTGCTTTAGAAGTGAATGTAGTGCGGTGACCTTGTCGTACTCTAAGACTGCTGTTGAAGGACCGTTCGACCTGTTTGTCCAAACTTCAGCCACTGAAAGTGGGACCTGTAGGAGACCCTGAGTCGGGTGACTGTAAAGCATCTCAAAGACAGCAGCATCAAGAGAACAAGGACACACAGTGTCACTGATGTGAAGCACCAAAAGCTACTTGAGTGCCGATAGCAACTCGGCTGTACAGCAAAAAACAGGCTTTTAAGGGTTAAAGACTATCCTAGATAGTAGATAGTAGAGAACAAAGGAACAGATGTGAAATAGTTACTGGCTGTAAATTACTACTTTGGGTCTAAACTTCAGTGTTTTAACCACCACAGAAGGACTGCAGTGCAAAAAAAAAGGTATCCCGTCAAGTGAAACGATCTCAAATTTAGTCAATATATCTAATTTTTCCCATTTTGAGATGGTTGTGCACTTATTAGTTGATCTATCTTGCTTATTTCTACACATTATTTACTTGTTTAAGGTAATTTTACTAAGTAAAATTATCTCATTATACTGGCAGATAATTTTGCTGGTTCCAAGCACATTTCTTAAAACAAGTACAATTATCTGCCAATATTGTGAGATAATTTTACTTAATAAAATTACTAAAAACAAGTGATTAGACCTTAAAAATAAGGGTGAATAATCTTAAATTAAGCTTACAACAATCTCAACAGGAGAAATATTAGATTTTTTGGCTATAGTTAAGATAATTTTACTTGACAAGATACCATTTTTTTCCGTGTGTGCGTTTGCACCGCGTTAGCTGGACGTTGCATTTGCGTTTGTGTACTTGCGCTGAGTTTATTTCTGGCCAAAAAGTTGTTTCACATTGTCTTTTCTGATTTATGCACTCCTATCCAAGGCCTCCTGCTAAAACTAGTGACTCTCAGAAGCAGGGTTTGATCATAAACTGTGCTAACGTTAGCTTCGCATTAAGATCTAAGGTTGAAAGTTTGGAAAAACAGGTGAAACTCTCCTTCAGAACCAACTTATCGCTCCCAAAGGGCTCGCTGTGGCTAGCTGACTGTAAACACAGAGCTCTGATTGTGTACACCGAGATGCGGTTAAAACTGTGGAAAAAGAAACAGATTAAAGATAAATAATTCATATATTTTTCCCAAAGTCCTCTTTGATCTCCCACCGAGCCGTGGCTTGCTTCGCGAGGAGAAAGAGTCAGCCACGTGACCCCGAAGTCAAAGATCGTCCACACAGGTCAGAGGTCGTTACTTGATGTTCTTTGGCACTTCCAGACCTGTTATTAGAGTCACCTGCAAAGAAAACAGAGAACATGCACTGAAACTAGGGCAGCAGGATATGGACTGCAATTACACTGATCAGGCATAACATTATGACCACCTCCTCGTTTCTACGCTCATTGTCCATTTTATCAGCTCCACTTACTATATAGGTGCACTTTGTAGTTCTACAGTTACAGACTGTAGTCCATCTGTTTCTCTGTATACTTTGTTAGCCCCCTTTTACCCCCATGGACCCTCACAGAGCAGGTACTATTTGGGTGGTGGATCATTCTCAGTGGATCGAGTGGATCAGACACAGCAGTGCTGCTGGAGTTTTTAAACACATCAGTGTCACTGCTGGACTGAGAATAGTCCACCAATCAAAAATATCCAGCCAACAGCGTCCTGTGGGCAGCGTCCTGTGACCACTGATGAAGGACTAGAGGATGACCAACACAAACTGTGCAGCAGCAGATGAGCTATCGTCTCTGACTTTACATCTACAAGGTGGACTGACAAGGTAGGAGTGTCTAATAGAGTGGACAGAGAGTGGACACAGTGTTTAAAAACTCCAGCAGCACTGCTGTGTCTGATCCACTCAGTGTTACTGCAGTGCTGAGAACGTTCGGTTGCCCATTGCTGTATTTTGCGTTCATTTCATGATTTTTTTAACTTTTTGTCGTATAACGATGAACATATAATAATGCAGCACTGTTCAAGACCTTCGCTTTACTTTTTGGTAACAAAATTACCGCCGCAAGTCCAGCACCAATCCAGCGATGCCCCTCTTCTCACACTGGGGTTGAATATCAAATGGTACCTTGCTCCCTACATAGTGCACTAAGTAGAAATTTAAATACTAGCTTCTGCACCACAACAGTGAACAATACAGCTAAAAAATAGTCATTAAAAATTATTTTTTATAAAATCATTTGGGATTCAGCCACATCCACACGACAAATAGTGCACTATTTGGCTGTAGAAGCTAGAACTGGAAAACCTCCCTAGCTAGCACACTATTTAGGGAGTACGTGAGGCGTTTGAGACTCAGCCTGGGTTTGATGTGACCTTCAACTGAAACATGGACATCGTGTAAGCCATCAAGCCATTCATCAACACATTCTTTAGACTTTGTATTGCTGTTTTACAGTTGATCATATCGTAAGTACTTTATTTCAAGCCTGTGATATTAATGATGGCTCTTTTAGCCTGTTAGCTAACTGACCAGCCTAGTTCTAGTTAAGAACATAAGTTGCCAGCCCCTCAGTTTAAACAAAAAACAGGTTCTTACTTCATCAGTACACTCGGTGGTCCATGCAAACAGCATTCGAGTCAAATATTATTCCATTAACAGCACAAGGTTTTTTGTAGAGTGGCGCAGTAACAGAGTTCAGTCACTGTGAGGCAGTCATAGGTGTGGGTGTATCGTGTATTTTACGACGACTTCGAATGCGGCTCAGCCAATCAGACTTTAGGATCAGAGCTATCTGTTTTATAACAATATGTTAACACATTATTACCATCACACATTTTTTAAATATGTTAACACATTGCAGGCTGAAATCCAGCTGCAGCACACTGTATGCTGCTATGAGAGAATCCATTAATGTTGCCCTCTCATTCAAATACAGCTTTTAAAAGGCTTTAAAAGTGAAACCTTCAGGAGACGACGCTGGACAGTGCTCACTGGAGACCTACAGATAATTCAACAAGCAGCAAACTGACAAAACGCAACAGCAAAGTGGAGCTCCAGTTCCCCTCGAGAGCCTCCACTGTAGCAAGAATTCACCCGCTGTGTGAGTGAGAAGCTACAATCACAGAGGAGTTGCACCAGTGACTTTATGTAAGATAAATATAATATATACACTCAGTGAAAGTAATAAATACATTCTAATGAAGCTTATTTTGTCCATTTAAATAACTATAACAAAATGCACTCAAATAAAAAAAATCTTAATTATTAAAAAAAAATCTTATTATTAATATTAATTATTTTAAACGTGTACCTATCAATCATGTCATCATGGCACACAGCCTCCCTCAACATTCTGGAGTGCCTCAGTAAAACCACACAGTAGAACACACTGCTGGTCCTCAGGGGTCAGGTGGATGGGAGTGGAGTGGAACAGCCATTCTCATTAAACGGACCACTGCTCTGAGCTGTGTGTAATACAGCCGTGTGCAGATGACAGATTATGTTCTCTACCCAGAGAAAATGTAAGGTCAAATCTCTCTATTAGGCTACTGTTTGTTTGGTGGCTTTTGTTTACATAGGTCCAGAGCTGGGTGATCCAGGTCCAGAAAGTAAAAAAACCCACTCCAGGAATTTATTCCAGCTGCCTGAACACCTTTGCTGCAGGTTTGAGCAAAATAGGAAGCTGATTTATGTCAACATATGTGCAAAAACAAGGACATAAAATGTCACTGATGCAGGGCAGGAACTCTTACAAGCACCAAAGCTGTTTAAGTGCTAACAGCACCTCCTTGTGGAGAGTCTTTAACCTGATAAACATGAGTGAGTGAGGGAGTGAGTGAGTGAGTTAATTATTTTACATTAGCTCTTCAATGAACTCCACAATCCCTCCAAATTCATAACACATCAGAACTGACCATAACTGCCCGGCTTTTGCTCCACATAGTCCATATTATTTACACATAAGTTTCATCTTAGTATGTAAACACTGCTAAAGTTTCAAAATGTACCATTCACTCCTCAGACCACACAGTCCAAACATGGAGACTAATCTTCAAAAGCAGCCTGCTTTGAAGTCATTGTTTTTGTGATGTCCTAAAAAACAAAATATTTACAAATTTCTACCTATTCATAGAAGCTGGAAGGAGTGTTTTAATATAGGGCAATTAGAACGTACACAGTAACAAAAGCAGCCTATTTAATTCTAAGGGATAAAGAAAAGGCTCATGTGAAAAATGAATTATGACTGTTTTTGATACATAAAACCCCACAAACATTATAAGTAGACCTAATGGGGAGAAAATAAAATGCGTTAAAAATGTAGGACATGGACCCTTTAAGTCTTCTGTATACTGATACATGCAGAAGAGTTTACTGTCTATTCATGTTCAATATACAGTTGTATGCAAAGTCCTGGTCAAAAGATGTTTTGTTGTTTTTTTTTAAGTCTTTTAAGTGAAAATAAGTTACATCCTCTACAGAGAACACTTGAATATGGCATATTTAAGTGCACAGTTTCTATTTACTTTGCTCAGTTTAACATACTGGGAAAAAATTGAGAATAAAATGTTTCGCACCAGTCAAATTTATGTTTAACTATCTCCCAGTATGTTAAATTCAACAAATAAACAGCAATTAAAATTAAATTTGCATTAACATGTGCAGAAGTCTGTTCTCTGTAGAGGATGTGGTCATTTATTTGGGTCATTCTCCATTTAAAGTGGGAAATCATGTCAGAAATGTTTGTGCTTAAAATATTAGGCACAGCTCCAAATGTCAGTATATACATTTACACAGCTGACCTAAGATTAAATAACACTTTTCCCTTATGATTTCTCAGATTTTTTTTTATCCTGTTTCATAGTTGCTCTGCATCTGTAAAACAGCTCTTCATAAAATTAATTTTAAACACGTGAGAATCCATTTTTAATATAAAACAATATTTTTAAGAGGCTTGACTTCAGAATTTGTTTAAAACAGATTCAGGTTTACTTTTTATATCATTAACATTATAATAGATTTCAAAAAAATATTTCATTTGAAAAATTAATCAAATTTGTCACAGAGATTTTGGTTGCTGGTATTATCAGGACTCTTATGTTACATTTTAACACAGTATTTTCAGCTCTATTAAACTGCTTCTTTGGGTCGAGGTTCATCAGAGAGGAAGCATCTCAAGGCATGAAAAGGCGAGTCACACTTACTCACTATATTTCATTAATTTATTAATAATTTTGTTTATCAGGCAGCACATAACTTCTATGTGTCATTGGTGTTATGTGCTTTAATGGCTGGGTGATTAAAATTTTGTCAGAATAATGCCAAATATTATATTTATTGCTGATTTTAAATAGTTGCACAAGCTCACCTGACCACCAATGAGTCAGCCAATTAACGAAATCCTCAGTTTTAACCAGAATGTCACTGGAGTCACCATCACTGGTGTTACACCATATTCATACAACACCAGTGACTGTAAAATATGTTTGGAATTAAGCTCTCCTTTTTACATACATGATAATAGGATATGTTAATGAACAGATTAAGATTATTTAGTTTTGGGATGAAAGAAATAGATTTTTTAAAAATCTATCCAGCAGAATTCCCAGAGAATGATGCTATTTGACCAGAGCTGCTCAAACTTTTTCATCCAACTTTTACGGCCTGAAGGTGTGATAATCTGGCCTTTGTGCTGACCTGCACGTTGCGGTTGAGGCTGACTGCGGGCATGAACACCCCCTCCAGGTTCTCGAAGGCCACAGGGCCGTGCTGCTCTTTGTTGATGAAGAACGTGAGCGTGTGTTTGGTCAGGTCCAGCAGAACGCCCACAGTAGAACCCTTCGTTATTCCTCCCTCAGCTCTGAATGGAGAGAGAGAAGAAACAGAGATGAATACTCTGTAAATAAGGTGCTCATAGACAGGCCTGTGTCTGAACCTCTGTCTACAAGGTGACACCATCAAAGCAACACGTTCTTCTGAAGCTCCAAATGTTCTGAAAGCAGAGACTGACTGTGAAAATGACTGTTATTTTTACCCCCCGAGAAGGTGAGGACAATTAAATCTGACCCAGTTTTCGTGTCTCAAACGAAGAAACTTTTCCTTTTCTGCTTCTTTCTTTAGCACAAAGAGTGAAGAAGCAATAACCTTTCACAACACCGTGAGCACATCTCAGTAATGGAACACTCAGAGAAGCGTTTGGAAGCTTTTCCTCTGACAAAAACGATACACACACTCACTGGACACTTTATTAGGTCCACCTACCTTGTATCTACACTCAGGTCAGAGACCACCCTTCATTTATTTCCTTTTTCAGTCAAAACAGCCATTTTTTCCACACCTCTAAAGTTCAGTCTTAGAAGTTGGTTGCATTTTTTTTTACTTCATACAATCCAAGTGATCCCAAACGCGTTCAGTGATGTTGGGGTCTGGACTGGGGTGGACAGTCCATTGTTCTGAGAACACCAGCAGCTTCTTTGTTTGATCTGCAAATGTTGATTTTCTCCTCTCTCTCAAAGATGAAAGGTTTAAGTGCTGTTTATCTGGAGGGGACAGTTCTGGTGGTCTACCAGGTCTTGCAGGTGGTTGTTAGGAGTTCAATTATTTGGAGATACCCTTTTTTGAGTGGCTGTTTTAGATGAAATAAATACTCAATAGACTCAGTAACATCAACAACATATCAATGATGTAGCAGCAGTGAATACATTCAGTAGATTATCAACAGAATTTTAATTAACTCTGTAAATAAAATCAGTTTATAATCTGCTGAATTCAGCTGTTTTTCACTGTATTTGGAGTGTGTAGATGCTAATCTGAGAGGAACTGAACATGTAACAGGTTTAATACAGACCTGGAGCTTAAGTGGATTAGGATAAGGTTAGATTAAGGTTAGGTCCAGGATTAGGACCAGGGTGAGGGTCGGAATTAGGTTTTGGGTTGAGGTTAAAGAGGTTAGAGATAGGATTAGGACCAGGGTGAGGGTTAGGATTAGGTTTTGGGTTGAGGCTAGGTTTAGGGTTAGGATTAGGGCCAGGGTGAGGTTTAGGATTAGGTTTTGGGTTGAGGCTAAGGAGGTTAGAGATAGAATTAGGGCCAGGGTGAGGTTTAGAATTAGCTGTTAGGTTTAGGATTAGGGCTAAGATTAGGGTCAGGTTTTAGGTTGAGGTTTAGGGTCAGGATTAAGGCCCGGGTGAGTGTTAGGTTTTGGGTAAGGTTGGGTAAGGTTAGGTTTTGCTTACTGTAAGTACCATATTAATTTACGTCATGCAACATCAACAATGCATCTACTTAACGTAAGTAATATATCAACATTACATCTTCAAGATATTAACCTCAGTGTATTCAGATGCTGCACTTCTGCTACTTCACTGATGTGTTACTGATACTCTGTTAAGGGTTTATTAATCATCTACCAAGGGCCACTCCAAATAAAGTGTTACCAGTTATTTCTGCATCTGTTCATCATTTATTTGAACTCCAGTTTTTGGAAACCACCTTTCTTCTTCCTTATGCAAGCAGGCTATCTTATATCTAATCTCCTCAGAAACATCTGAGGAAACCCCTCTAACCGGGTGGTCTCTGACTTTTGCTCATTACTATGTAGGTGCACTTGGTTGGTGAAGTTCTACAGACTGTAGTCCATCTGTTTCTCAACTGTTAGCCTCCTTTACCCCTTTATCAGTGGTCAGGACACCCAGTGAGCTGATACTATTTGGGTGGTGGAATGATATTCATCAGACATGTTTAAATAAGCTTTAGCATGTGGCAAGAAAAAGTTCTATAATCATGGTAACAAGAGAGGCAAAACACCAGTCTATTTCAGTCTATCATATGACTTCCAAGCATCTTTGTGCATGACGTCCAGTCACTTTGTAGGTTACTGCAAAGTGACTCAGCAAACTACCATCAGGAGGCGTTAGCCACTGCGTTATTGTTGGTTGTTCCCCAGAGCCGTGAACGCCTCCAACGCAGCACGCAGGAAGAATTTAGACTAGCACGTTAGCATGCTAGCGCACGTCCTTGCTAGTCACCTACAGACTGCCCATCTCCTCAAGTGGACTGACACAGAAATCCAGTATTAGCAGTCACCTAAGGGTTTGTCCACAGTAAGGAGGTTAAGGCTGCTCATGGAAACTTGGGGTGAAGGAAACTTGTGGAACCTCATCAGCAGCGTAACTACAATAAAATAAATGTGTCCTTAAAAACGACCTTAACTGAATAACTGGAAAATATGACAATGTTATTTCCGTGGTCTGATGGCTGAAGTACACTCTTAAAAAAAGATGGTTCTTCAAGGGTTCTTCAGTAAAGAAAATGGTTCTATATATAGACCATGAACACTCAAAGAACCGTTTGCACGATTAAAGAGTTCTTAGCATCAAGAAAGCGTTTTTCAATTGATGGAAAATGTGCATGAATGTGCTATAGATGGTTCTATATAGAACCTTTTTGAAGAGGGTTCTATATAGCACTCAAAAACCTTTTTGGATGCTATATAGAACCATTTCAAACGGTTTCTATATAGAACGATCTACAGCACATTCTGCATCAATCTGAAGAACCTTTTCTTGATGCAAAGAACCCCTTATTCATGCAAAGCGTTCTTTGAGAGTTCATGTGTTAAGAACCTTTTGCATGAATAAAGGGTTCTTTGCATTATGAAAGGGTTCTTCAGATTGATGGAAAATATGCATGAATGTGCTGTAGATGCTTCTATATAGAATTTTTTGAAAAGAGTTTTATATATAGCACCCAAAAGGGTTCTTCTATTCTTACAAGCTTGACATCGTAACAATAGAAGAACCTTTTTGGGTGCTATATAGAGTCATTTCAAAAGGGTTCTATATATAAGTTGATTGAAAATGTGCATGAATGTGCTATAGATGGTTCTATATAGCACCCAAAACGGTTCTATCGTTACAAGCTTGACATCATAACAATAGAAAAATGCTTCTGGGTGCTGTACAGAACTCTTTTCAAAAAGGTTCTATATAGAACCATGTACAGCACATTCTCCATCAATCTGAAAAACCCTTTCATGATGCTAAGAACCCTTTAATCAGGCAAAGGGTTCTATGAGAGTTCACAGTTCAAGAACCCATTGCATGATTAAATGGTTCTTTGCATCATGAAAGCGTTCTTCAAGTTGATGGAAAAGATGCGTGAATGTGCTATAGATGGTTCTATATAGGACCTTTTTGAAAAGAGTTTTATATATAGCTATACCCTTTTGGGTGCTAAATAGAACCATTTCAAAAGGGTTCTATATAGAACCATCTATAGCACATTCTCCATCAATCTGAAAAACGCTTTCATGATGCTAAGAACTCTTTATTCATGCAAAGGATTCTTTAAGAATTCATGGTTCTATATAGAACCATTTTCTTTACTGAAGAACCCTTGCAGAACCATCTTTTTTAAGAGTCTACATTACTATGTGATCTTGGCTACCCATGAGGCATTGATTGGATGTCAGGAGGCCCAGTGTGACTGACCGTTAGCAATAGCGCCCATTTAACTTCAAAAATGTTTGACCTATTATTTTGTTTTATCCTCCAGGCTTCGAGCCACCTAAGCCAGCCTCACCTGTTGGTGTGGGAGTTGTTGTGCATGAACCAGGAGCGGTTGTTGTCCACATACATGGCCCAGGCCTTATCGTCCTTGCCCAGCATGACGTCCTTCAACGTGTTAATGCGCGCCACGCCGAACGCAGGGTCGGGATGGTTGTCGTAGCGATCCACGCTAAGCTCCCAGTAATGCACACCTTTGGAGAAGGCGGCGGTCCCGAGCACCACGCGATCGTCGTAGCTGTTGCAGCTCACAGTCTGGTTCTCGTTGGAAAGGACGATGTCCCTGTGCGCTGAGGTAGGGTCAAAGGTGAACCAGGCAACTGTCAAAGAGAAGGAGAAGAACAAAAGGCAGTGTTAGGTGAGGCTGAGAACCTGGTTCTGTTGGTTGTTCTATTTAGACTCACTTTGACTGACCAAATGACTTGAGCTCTGCAAGACTGGCTGTGAAACTGAGTGATTAGCATTATGACTCGAATTTTAATCCGTATCCATAAGAGCGAACAGATGTTCTGGACTCTTTTTTACATGACTTCATGGTGTTGGAGGCAAAAAAATTGTTTTATTATTCAAAAATTTGAGGGAAATGAGTCCATTTTCATGCAGGATGAGCACTTAGAGCTGCCACTTCAGATGAGCTAATAAACGCTAAGGCTAAACACTACCAGTACAACACTTGCATAAAAGACCTTCAGTGTGTCCCAGTTCAGGGGGCGTGTCCTTCGAAGGTTGCTTAGACCCGCGAAGGCGGAACCTGTTTGTGCCACAGCACCGCTGTTCCCGCCTTTACCGCTGCATCACGAAACATGGCTCTTGTCAAGTTCTTTTAAAGTTCTTTAAAGATGGAAACTTTGATTTTAGTTGTTTATTTTTTCCTTTATTAGAGCTGGAGATGCTTCCCCGCCGGCTACTGATGAGATTGTTGTTTTTTTTTTTACATTTGTATCGTTAGCCATTCGCCTCAGTTTAAACCCAATCTTTAATTATAATTAAAAGTGTGCTCTTCAGCCACCATTCGCAGGATGCACCTGATGGATCCTTCGTTGCCATGGAAAAGAAGGACACATTTCTCGGCCGCATATGAGGGAGTCTTCGAAATGGGACATCCTAGTTGCGCCACTGTGACACAATCAGCCTTCAAATGCAGCCTCTGAAGAACGCAGCCCCTGAAATGGGACACACTGCTTGTGTAGAAGACGACCAGCTGAACTTAAATAACGTTAGATAGCTTATACAACGGAAAAGTCCTTGGCAACGCGCTCACATTAAGGCACTCCGGCTTTTCTGATGGCAGAGAAATGTGAGGAGCACTGCACGGCCTCTTCATCTATGGGGTTAACGCAGGGAGACCCTTTTGGCTCTAAGTCCCCCTCCGTTACAACTGCCACTAAAGGCCCATCTTACCTTTGATCTGCTTGGTCAGTGCAGAAAAAATAACAGAGCCAGTTTATGGGGAACCTGGCCACTTCATATTTTGTCCAATTATACAGGAAAAATGACAGTAAAGCACTAGAGGGCGCCCGCTAGTGGGTCCTCAATGAATTGGTGCAAAAGTTTCTAGCTATTCATTCATGAACTTCCTTTAGTTTGGAAAGCAGAAGGATTTTTCAGTTTTTCTACAGTAAAAAGGTTTTGGGCAGCTGGATGCTAGAACTACTGCTACTGAGTACTGATTGGTTAGCATTACTGCTACTGAGTGCTGATTGGTTGGCATTACTGCTACAGACTGCTGATTGGTTGGCATTACTGCTACTGAGTGCTGATTGGTTGGCATTACTGCTACTGAGTGCTGATTGGTTGGCATTACTGCTACTGAGTGCTGATTGGTTAGAATTGCTACTACTGAGTGCTGATTGGTTAGCATTATATGGGAAACTGAGTGCTGATTGGTTAGCATTACTGCTACTGAGTGCTGATTGGTTGGCATTACTGCTACTGAGTGCTGATTGGTTAGAATTGCTACTACTGAGTACTGATTGGTTAGCATTATATGGGAAACTGAGTGCTGATTGGTTAGCATTACTGCTACTGAGTGCTGATTGGTTGGCATTACTGCTACTGAGTGCTGATTGGTTGGCATTACTGCTACTGAGTGCTGATTGGTTAGAATTGCTACTACTGAGTGCTGATTGGTTATCATTACTGCTACTGAGTGCTGACTGGTTGGCATTACTGCTACTGAGTGCTGACTGGTTGGCATTACTGCTACTGAGTGCTGACTGGTTGGCATTACTGCTACTGAGTGCTGACTGGTTGGCATTACTGCTACTGAGTGCTGACTGGTTATCATTATTGCTACTGAGTGCTGACTGGTTGGCATTACTGCTACTGAGTGCTGACTGGTTGGCATTACTGCTACTGAGTGCTGACTGGTTATCATTACTGCTACTGAGTGCTGATTGGTTGGCATTACTGCTACTGAGTGCTGACTGGTTGGCATTACTGCTACTGAGTGCTGACTGGTTATCATTACTGCTACTGAGTGCTGACTGGTTGGCATTACTGCGACTGAGTGCTGACTGGTTGGGATTACTGCTATTAAGTGCTGACTGGTTGGGATTACTGCTACTGAGTGCTGACTGGTTGGCATTACTGCTATTGAGTGCTGACTGGTTGGCATTACTGCTACTGACTGCTGACTGGTTGGGATTACTGCTACTGAGTGCTGACTGGTTGGCATTACTGCTACTGAGTGCTGACTGGTTGGCATTACTGCTATTGAGTGCTGACTGGTTGGGATTACTGCTATTGACTGCTGACTGGTTGGCATTACTGCTACTGAGTGCTGACTGGTTATCATTAATGCTACTGAGTGCTGATTGGTTGGCATTACTGCGACTGAGTGCTGACTGGTTATCATTAATGCTACTGAGTGCTGACTGGTTGGCATTACTGCTACTGAGTGCTGACTGGTTGGCATTACTGCTACTGAGTGCTGACTGGTTAGCATTACTGCTACTGAGTGCTGACTGGTTGGCATTACTGCTACTGAGTGATGACTGGTTATCATTACTGCTACTGAGTGCTGACTGGTTGGCATTACTGCTATTGAGTGCTGACTGGTTGGGATTACTGCTATTGAGTGCTGACTGGTTGGTGAACTACATAAGGTACAGTTATATATATTATGCTGTTGTTGACTAAAGAATTGCATTATTTATATGAAAATGATGAAGCATTTATACACTAGCATTTTGCACAAAGGCTCCATAGGGATCAATTCATTCTGGACTCTGTTAGTGTCTGACAAACACAGAAGACATTACTGAGTGTCAATTCTATTCATTAGAAATTCTCTGAAAACTCACTGCGCCTGGAGCTCCCATAAAAAAATACAGTTCCCACTGTGCTACAACAATTGAGCCACCCACATCTGTCCCACTGAAAACAATGGGACAAAGCCTGGGTTCACAAACAAGGCGTACAAAGTTAACCCTCTAACAATAAACAGTGACTAGTGAAGTGTATTCCTGCGTTCCTGCGCTTATACAAAATAAAAATCTGATCTTTTTTAGATCATTTTGCTTATGTGTCAAAATAAATATTTTTATTTTTATATGTTTTGTGCATTGAGGAATCACATTATTAAAGAAGAAGCATTGATTAAAATGCAGAAATAACACTTTTTTGTGCAAACAAAGGGTTAATAGGTATAAAATCTGGAGTTCAGAGGCTACAATTTGTTTCTTCGTTACATATTTTGACTTCTACTTAAAAGTGAAAGATCCTCAGCCTCTCAGCAGGTCTCTACCCAGCAGACGTTTTAGTCTCAGCGGGACAGATAAGACAGAATGAGAGGAGTTTCTTCCTCAGTCACTGATTAAAGCCTGCCCTGCCCAGCAGGGGGTCCTTTACTTTCATGATCTGTGAGGTGGTCCCCACAGAGAGAGAGAGAAGGAGAAAGAGAGAAAGAGAGAGAGAGAGAGAGAGAGAGAGAGGAGGGAGGTTTAGAAAGAAGTGAGTGAGACACAGCGTGAACAATGAAAAAAAGAGTTCAGAAAAAGAGAGAGAGAGTGAAAGAAGGGCGAGAGACAGTCACTAACCATCAGACGTCTTTAAGACCACGGTCTTGCTGTAAGCGCCGACCCCGATGGAGTTGTACGCTTTGACGCGAGCGTTATAGGAGCTGTTGAAGTGGAGACCGTCCACAGTGCACAGCGTCTCCTTCCCTACATACACCTCCTGAGAGAGAGAGAGAGAGAGGGAGAGAGAGAGAGAGAGAGGGAGAGAGAGAGAGAGAGAGAGAGAAGAGAGGGAGGGAGAGAGAGGGAGAGAAGAAAAAAGAGTGTTGGAGAGAGAAGGTTAGAAGAAGGCAGAGAAAAAAGTCAGAGAGAGACAGAGAGAGAAGAAAGATAGAAAGAGAATAAAGAAGAGAGAGAAGTAGAAAGTGGAGGGAGAGATGCAAAGAGTTAGAGAGGACAGAAAAGAAGGAAGGATTTACAGAAAGATAGAGAGAGAGAGAGACAGAAAGGAAGAGAGAAAGAAGAAAAGCAAAAAGAGTGTTGGAGGGAGAGGTTAGAAGGTGGCAGAGAAAGAGAGAGAGAGATAGAGAGAGAAGAAAGAGAGAAAAGGACAGAAAAAGACGGAAGCATTTACAGAAGAGAGAGAGAGAAGAAAGGAAAAAAGTGTTGGAGAGAGAGAGGGTTAGAAAGAGGCAGGGAAAAGAGAGAGAGAGAAGAAAGATAGAAAGAGAAGAAAGAAGAGATAGCAGAGAAGTAGAAAGCGAGAGAGAGACAGAAAGAGAGTTAAAGAAAAGGACAGAAAAAGGGAAAGAAGAAAGGAAAAAAGAGTGTTGGAGGGAAAAGGTTAGAGGGAGTCAGAGAAAAAGAGAAAAAGACGGAAAGATTTACAGAAAGATAGAGAAAGAGAGAGAGAGAGATAGAGAGAGAAAAAAAAGAGTGTTGGAGGGAGAGGGTTAAAAGGAAGCAGAGAAAAAAACAGAGAGATAGAGAGAGAAGAAAGAAGGAGAGAGAGAGGACAGAAAAAGAGGGAAAGATAGAGAGAGAAAAGAGAGAGAGAGGAAAAGATTTACAGAAAGATAGAGAAAAGAGGGTGTTATGGAGAGAATGTGTGTGTGTGAGAGAGAGAGTGAGTTAGAAGCATGGATGGAGTGGGAGAGAGAAAGTTTGTAGAATGAGAGAGAGAGAGAGATAAGAAGTTAGAAAGTGAGAGAGTGAGAGAGAGATGGTGTTAGAGCATTAGAGAGAAAGAGCAAGAGAGAGAGAGAGTTAAGAGAGAGACAGAGGAAGTGAGTGAAAGAAGATGGGGTTGGAGAGAGAGTTAGGGATAGAAGAAAGAGAGAGTGAGAGAGTTAGAGTGAGAGAGGGAGAGAGAGATTAAGGGGGATGGAGTAAACATCTGGCGTGATCTGAAGAAACGCAGCACATTTGTCATTAATTATAAACGCAGAGATGAGCTGAAATGTTCTGAACTGTAGAACATCAGAGAATCTTCTGCACCGAGTGTTTCAGAGTGAAGAGCCACACAGACTAACAGAGCCTGTGAGAAACCTCAGCTCTGTTTCAATATCAGCTCATTAACCCCCAGAAAGCACGGCTGCATGCTGTACAAGCGTAGTATAATAAAGCAATAAGCCACCAGAGGCTGCGAATTACTGTGATTTTATCAGAGGAAGGTGGTTCTTAGGCACGACATGAAGCAAAGTGCCTAAAACTCCCTTCCCCATGATAAAAGCACAGTAACCCACAGCCTCAAGTGGGTTATTGTGTATAAAATACACAATTTTTCAGAAAATAATATGTTATTATTAATAAAAATCGACATAAACAGGAATTCCGCCAAGAAATGCAGTTCCTTTAGACTTCGGTATTGTTGCCAAGCAACCATGGACCACTGAATGAGGAGACCGAATGAGTTTGGTGGCCCATCGCTGTATCCTGCTGTCATTTCATGATTTTTTTAGCTTTTTCTCATATAACAATGAACATTTGACAACACAGCACTGTTTAATGCAATCACCTTCACTTTATAAGTACTTTTTGGTCACCAAATTACCACGGCGAGTCTTATTTAGCACCAATCCAGCGATGCCCCTCTTCTGACACTGGGGCTGAATCTCATATGGCTCCCTGCTCCCTACATAGTGGACTACATAGGAATTTAAATACTGGATCCTGCAGCCCAACAGAGCATAATATAGCTAAGAAATAGTCATTTGGGACTCAGACACATCCACACTGGATAAATGATGCACTATTTGGCTGTAGAGGCTTCTTTCATAGCTAGCACACTATATAGGGAGTATGGAGCCGTTTGGGATTCAGCCTGGATTTGAAGCTACTTCTGACTGAAACACGAACATTTGAAGCGTATAATCTATAAGTAAATAGTAAATAAGTGACATTTTACTGATGTTTTACTGTAAATCATACTGTACGTACTTTAATTTAAGGCTATAATATTAATGATGGAGGTGTTCAGGCTGTTGGCTCTTTTTGCCTTTTAGCTAGCTGACCAGCCTAGTTCTAGTAAAGAACATAAGTCGCCAGCCCCTCAGTTTAAACAAAAAACAGGTTCTTACTTCATCAGTACACTCGGTGGTCCATGTGAGCAGCATGAGTCAAAGATTATTCCATAAACAGCCGTGGCGCAGTAATACAGAGCTGTCGCTGTGAGGCGGTCATAGGTGTGCGTATATCATGGATTTTACAACGGCTTCGAACGCGGCTCAGCCAATCAGATATTAGGACCGGAACTGTCCATTTTATATTATATACATAGTCACTTGAATTCGCACTAGGAATAAATCCAGAGACTCGTACCCGATACTGTCCACCGTTTCCATCGTCCAGCTCCAGGATGTAGCCCTCCACAGGCAGGGCCTGGACTGCAGTTATCCTCCAGGCCAGCGTGACGCTGTTGTTGCGCGTGCAGCATTTTTCCAGCTGCAGCAGAGGCGCTGGGGGGACCATGGGGGTCTCTGTCGAAAGACAAAATGATTTCACACAGCACAGCACAGCACAGCACGGCAGGGTCAGTGAGAGGCAGAAGAGAGACAAATTCGTGCTGGAGGGGTAAGAGAGGGTGGTGAGAGTGCAATAACATGCATGGGGCAAGAACTGGCTAAGTGCTCTCCTGTGCTGATCTGCAGTCAGTTATGCAGGTCCTGTTTAATCTTTAAAGGGGAAGTCCACCGATTTTTCTAAATATCTGTATAGTTAAATGGTCAAGATGTGATGTGATTGGACCTAGAACTTTTCGGTTCTGCCTATTTTTGTCTATCACTACATGTCTGTCACACCTGCCACTTGTCATATCTATCTATCTATCTATCTATCTATCTATCTGTGTCTGTCTGTCTATCTATCTGTCTATCTATCTATCTGTCTGTCTGTCTGTCTATCTATCTATATATCAATATATCTATCTATCTGTCTATCTGTCTGTCTGTCTGTCTGTCTATCTATCTATCTATATATCAATATATCTATCTATCTGTCTGTCTGTCTGTCTATCTATCTATCTATATATCAATATATCTATCTATTTGTCTATCTATCTGTCTGTCTGTCTGTCTGTCTGTCTCTCTATCTATCTATCTATCTTAAATTATTCAGAAATTTTGAAAAATCAGTGGAATTCCCCTTTAATTCCCCAATAAAGGCTGATCCTGCATCAGCACAGCAGGGCAACTTGATATCCTGAAATGTCTCCTAAACAGGGTGGGAAAGGGGCTGTTTTGGGGGGTTTTACGAACAGTTCCAGAGAATTTAGCAGCTCTGAAATACCTCCTGTGCTCTCCATCTCTGTCTGGACCCCTGCATGCATTTGTTTCACTAATGCAGACTCCTGACCATCTGAAAGACGATATCGGACAGAGCATGTGCAGCATGTGTGAGTCTGGAGGCAAAGCTTTGAGGAGTTATGGAACATTTATTTGGGGGGAGGTTTGGAATTAAACCTATTTATTTTAGAAATTTAGTGTTTAAGCTGATCAGGCCTTTTTCCACTGATGTCCACTGCACTGCTGTGCGTGCTAAGAAAGACAATAAAACAGATTTGTGGGGTAATGGACTTCGGAGTAGGGAATTCTGAAATCCCACACTGGTCAGTCTCATACCAGTTCCATTCACAAACATTAATTATGACTGAAAACTGAAAAAATGTACAGCAAAGGTGCAGCAATGTGACCGATATGAGATTATGGAAGGAAATCTATTTAGTCTGTTCAGTAACCGTAATTGTGTTTGGTGGAGATATTCAATACAGATGTTCTGATTAATGGATTGATTAAATTTGACATTTTATAACAATTATTAGTGATTAATTGCGCTACACCTGCACACACAGTCGCATGAAGAGGATGAGTAGATATCCATCCACACTCCCTCCTCTGTTAACTAATGAAAATAACATGATAATACAACGGAAGATGGGACGGTTTTTATTAAACCAAATTAAACCCAATTATAATCGTCTCGTTTCCAATTTCAATAAATAACTGTGCACACTTACTGTATTAAATATGGTGGGAATATGGAAGTGGAAGATGTATCCATATTTATTTACATTATTCTGTAGTTTGGGTCGGTCCAAAAAACTGAAATACGGTATTTGTTAGTTACTTTTGTATTTCCTACATTTTAGTGTATTTTTGGTTTATGAACCAAATATCATCATAAGTCATTTTTATATAACCATTTTCCAGCATCTCTTTATGCCTGACAATAATAGAGGCTGTTTTTGTTACTGTTTTTTTTTTATATATATGTAAATGAGCACTGTTCCAATTGGAAGTTCTGTATTGCTTCTCTTAAATGGCACTCCGGGCTGAAACACTCCTTATAACGTCAGTGAAAATGGGCGGGGCTAAAAAGGCACAGGCCGAATAAGTGGATATATGTAAATGTGAAGGTTTTTGTGACATCACCAAAAACAGTGAGCTTAAAACAGGCTGTTTTTCATAGCTTATATTCCATAAATGGATTGTATGAACTCATGTTTTGAAATCTGAACAATGTTTACAAACTCTTCTGTTTCAAAATGGTGAGAAAAATTCAGTTTTCCATGATGGGGCCCTGTGATTCGTTCACGCCATCACAGGTATACATTTCTATATTGTTGCCACCAACTGGATATATACTGCAGTCATGGAAGATAAGAATGAAAGAATAGAAGATGCAGTTGAGAATATCAGTTATAAATAGAACATCTGAGGTGAAATTATTTCAACCTAAACATTTTCAGTACATTTTGACAATACCGACTAATATAAACATAGTGAAACTGTGTGTGTGGGTGGTACCTTTGCCCTGCGTGAAGTCCAGCTGCAGGATGCTCTGCATTAGAGGGTCAGTGTTGATGCTGAGGGCGAATTCGGGGCAGACCTTTGGCTCCAGAGCCCCCTTCACCCACTGCTCCTGAGAGGCCTGCACACGCTTTATTAACGCATCTGATATCTGAGAGAGAGAGAGAGAGAGAGAGAGAGAGAGAGAGAGAAACAAATAATAGTTCACACATAACTATCACTTTATTATCGGTTCAGACAATATATCATCCAGTACTAGTCACTCATCTGTAGCTGCCCTCTACCCATTCATCACCGGTCAGTTTCTGTTGTCCAGATTTTATTAGGGTGGTGTATCATTCTCAGCACAGCGCTGACACTGACATGGTAGTGTGTGTGGAGCTGGTACGAGTGTATCAGGCACAGCAGTGTTGCTACACACTGTCTACAGTAAAGACCCCGGGGGTCCTTAAAACCAGCAGAGCGGCTTTGTTCTCTCCATGAGAAGAATACAAAACCCTGGTTTTAACAGGCCCCTTTTATGCTTCTTTAGATGGTAATCGCTCCGGATATCCCCATAAAACTCCACACACTCTGGATTAAAACCTAAATTATTCAGGCCATCAGAATTTTTTCCAATCGTTCTCTCTTGTGAAAACAAATGTTCCAATTTCAGGCCTTTTCATTTCCCCCTATAGGACTGTTTTCAAAAGAAAGCTGCTGTCGGACTCAGAAACGCTCAGACGACAGAGGAACGGCGTGGAGAGAGGAGCCGGAGAAACCGCGGGAATCGATACTTCATAAAAATTTCAACTGGAAGGCGCATCGATCCTCCACAGTGGCATTCAGATCTATTTCATCTGCTTCCAATAGCTTCTATTAAAGATGAATTATTTATACAGAGTAATGGCTGAGGGCTGCGTAACAGGTGAGTCTTCGGTTCAAGTTGCTACTTAGCCTCTGCTGAATTTCATATCTCCATTATTGTCCTCCTCCTTTATTTGAGATGAATGTATATTGACTTATATGGGCCTTATTCTCCAGTGTCCAGTGGTACACTGGCCAGAGCATCAACACAGAGTCAGGAACAGAAACAAAAACTGAAAAAAGAGCAGTATATTACTACGAACAAAAACAAAACTGAAATCATCCTTGACTATGCTGGAGCACATATGCCAAAGGGGAATTCCACCCATTTTTAAAATTTCTGTATGACTTAGTGGTTGAGGTGTAGACAAAGTCATTCAGAGTAGTTTGATGTGAAAAGGTTCTTTGCTAAAAACTCACTGATTCACATTTCTTTACAGTGGTGGTGATAGGAACCAGGGGCCGTATACAAACACCCTAAAATCTTATCAGTTTAGTCACCATGACGACTTCAGTTAGGACTGAATTTAGGACAGAAGCTCTTACAGAACAACAGTTCCTAAGTTAATAATGCTATTACTCAAACTCAATCTACTCTACACTCTTTAAAATTATGGTTCTTCAAGGGTTCTTTAGTAAAGAACATGGTTCTATATAGAACCATGGACACTCAAGGAACCCTTTGCAAGATTAAAGGGTTCTTTGCATCATGAGAGGGTTCTTCAGACTGATGGAGAATGTACTGTAGATGGTTCTATACAGAATCTTTTTGAAAGGGTTCTATATAGCACCAAAAAGGCTCTTCTACTGCTGCGATACGAGCTTCTGACCTTTCTGGTGCACCATGCAAAGAACCCTTTAATCATGCAAATAGTTCTTTAAGTGTTCACAGTTTCATATAGAACCATTTTTTGAACTGAACCATCATTTTTAGGAGTGTATATACTGTCTATGTTCACTCAAAGCTGTTTTTGTTGGCCAAATCTATGCAAATGACCCTCCCAAATAAATTACAGCTGTCCAGCTAATGTCTACCCCTCCCCTGCCCCGGTCACTCATTACCAGCAGGAATCCACTGGGGTCGTTCTCCTTGATGACCTCCAGGCAGAACTCCATCATGCCCGTGGTCTGTCTGAGCTTCATCGTGCAGTGGGTGATCTGATCTCTCACCGTCTACAAACAAGAGAGGAGGACATAATTATTAAACATGCACATGCACAATTCCCAACACAGAGAACCGAGCAAAGAACCTCAAACAGGAACAATAAATTGTTGCTGGGACAGAACAGGTGGAAACCTCTTTCACCAGTCCTGAGTGAATAATTGAAGGGTCGTCTCTGACTTTTGCACAGAACTGCAGTTTAACAACTTTATCGCTTTGTACTTGTCAATAAAATGTTTTAACAGTTTTACACTACAAAGGCAATTTGCAGTGATTGGCGAAACAACCCAGAAATCACAGAATTTATCGTCATAGTAAACCATGTACAGGACAGGAACATTGGTAATACATTCACACATCAAAGCAGAAGGAATGAGAAGATGGATGGCGCAATAAAGCACACACACACACACACACACACACACACACACACACACACACACACAAACACTTGCATAGGACTCAGATCTGAACCCTGAGGAACACCACACTGCACTCTTTCTTATTTCCTTCTAAACAAACACAACTGATGTGCCTCAGGAAGGCTTGGATGGGTTGAATCGCATCATGAAACCTCTGAGACCTCCGGGGGGGCCACTTTGGACGGCTGACAACTTTTCAGTTCCAGTAAATAAAAACAAATCAGCCCATTTACAGATGATCCTGCACATCAGCCTGATTAATTATGAAGAGCGTTTCACATTGTTGGCTAACCACACAAAAATTGCTTTAACATCACTGGACATGGTGTATCGTTTCATCTTCACCTGCATAATAGAGCGCAGAGTGTTGTAAGGCAAAACAGTACCCAAATATATATATATATATATATATATATATATATATACATACATACATTTTTTTCCAGATTTTCTACTACTTTACCATTATAAACTTTGCACATTAAATGTAGGTTTATTAGTGGTTCTGGATACTAAGTGGATACTAAATAAAAATACACAGTGTGACCCCTAATTCAATTATTAAAGACACACATTTGCATTCACTGATCCCAACACAAAGAACCGAGCAAACAGCCTCACTCAGGAACACTTACAGTTACTCAAGCAAAAGAACAATGTCATGTGTTATTCTGAATAACATCACGGCTGTGAGCTGGTCACAGTAGATCATCACAGCCGCCATGTTATTCACCAGAACGTGTGACCACAAATGTTCTACTGCTTTTAGAAAACAGTTATACATAACAAATAAACCCTTAACAGCATTTCAAATATATGTTTTCACCAAAAAGTTGTTAGATTATATTAAATAAATTGTTGCTCGGATAGAACAGGTAGAAAACTCTTCAACCAGTCTGAACTAACTGCTGGGGAAAAGGTGGGGAACCCTCAAGGCCTGGTCATTAGGGCAGTATAATATTTTTTATTATTAAAACATTCGGCTGTGGCCTTTAAACGTCATTAGTCTACGGTTGGGTAAATTCTCCTCTGTCTCTGCTGCATGTGATTTACTGTTGGAGTAAAATTTGCAGTATTTTCAACACAGCTTAAGTGTCCTGGTGGTTAGCTGAATTATGAAAACTGTGAAATTATAATACTACACGGTTTTCCAAAGGCATCTACAGCTGAACTCCGCAATGACTCCACTTCAATGGAAAGCATCTCGTTTTTTAACCCTCTGCCAAGCCTGCTGGTGGGCCCAAAGTTTTATTACACACTTCTATAACCTAAGAAAAGCTCCATTAGTTTGCATTGAAGTCCCTGTAGTTAAGAAAATAATAAGCCTTAGTATGTCCTAAGTCTGGAATGTTAAGGGGTTAATATGTAAAGCATGTGGGCGTGGCTATGGAAATCACTTGCAATCTGAAGTGCTTCTATTAACACACAAGTCACCATGAATCCACACCAGAAGGAGCTCATGAACACACATTTGCAGTAACATCTATCAAAATGACAGGATGTAGTAGCTTTTAAAAGATGCTGAGTTGCTCAATGTAATATTATGAGTTTTATTAATAACACAGTTAATGGTAAAAGAGCATACACACTAAAAATAGAACAGAAAGTAGGTCAAAAGCTGCAGCAGAGTGTGTGTACTGGATTGTTGGGGGGTGGGGTGATTTAAAGTCTAATGATGTCTGTGAAATTTGTCTTTTTTAGTTCATTTTTATTTACTATACTAATCTTGCTTGTTGTATTTAAACTCTGCAAGAATTGCACAAACAAGAGAGGACTAATTTACTGGAAATTAGGGTTTATGTTCCTTTAAGAAGTGTGTAGACACGTGCACTAACAGTCAGTTTTTGCTTTTTACCAGAGAGAGAGAGAGATTTGTGAAGATGTCTGTTAATCCTCTCTATTTGTGTTGACATAACAACCCTTGTGTTTACATCTCAATGGATGAATTATGCAGAAAATTTGAAAAAACAGTGGAATCCCCCTGGTTAAGTCAACAACAAGCACATGTTCTCTGACATCCAGTCATTTCTCCACCAGAATATTCCACTGTTTTCCAATGTACTGTTACTCAAGTGTATTTTTGCTGTATTTTGCAGGAGCAAAGCAGGAGAATCAGCAGAACCCAAACACATTAACGATCAGCGCGGACACTGTTTTACGCTAATAAACACACTGTTTTCCGTTTTCTCTTGAAAAAATGAAATTTCCATGTTTATTTTTACAAAGTCAGTGCTGATTACAAACACTTGGCTTGTAATATACAGCATCCTTCACAGATTTCATCACTTAAAACACTTGAGAGTCGCTAAATATTCAGTTATCAGTTCAGACGGTGTCATCCATTACTAATGAAGAGAATGTTTTGATTTCATCACGGACTCACCCAGCCATTCAACTCTGCATTCATTATTTTCCCGCATTAATTATCCGATTATCCACCTGTCAAACGCTCACTGGAGTGAAATGAATGCTGGATAGTTAAGACACAGCCAAACTATCCGCTTATACGGCTAATAAGCATAAACAGAATGCCACTGTTGTTGTTGTGGTTGTCTGTACATGTGAAAGGAAAAGAACTATTTATAAGAGGATGGAATGGGAGTTCCTACAAAGGAATAACTTCAGAGAAAAGCTGAAAAATGATGTTTTATCCTTTCCCATCTGCTCGTCTCTGATTTAAACAGCTGTATGAAGATCACTGTGGGATAAACAAACCCAATTCCAAAAGCAGTACAAATATATTGATATTTGGGCCCAGTCTCATTTCTTCTTTTTACCCCTACCCCTTGTTTTCGAGTGTCATTTTGCCCCTTGGCACTAAGTTAAAAGGGGTAGTGGTTGAAATCTTCCCTACGAAATGGGACCCTCAAATAAAAAGAGCATCACTTCATTAACAGCTACTAGCGCTGCTCTGTAGGCGACGCTGCCAGTCTGCAGTGACAGCAGAGGAGGGTAAAGTTCAGCTCCTCACTGCTGGGCTTTAGTTACATTTAGGACATCATATGCCTTCAAAGAGGGGGCAATTATTTATTATCACCCACCCCTAATTCTTCAGTGATATGAAGCTGAAGTCAGATATTCACCAGCTTCTTGTTCGAATTTTCACGTTCCACCTTAAATGGAGCAGCAGCTACATTCTGGTGCTTCGGATATCAGAACTGCTGGACTATTTAAGGTGGAACGGGAAATTTAGCTAGCTAGCTACCGTGACATTAGCATACTACTAGTGATTTATGCTTGTTATGAAGAAAAGGACCATGATACATTGAAATGACATTAAACTAAGATAATACAGTGGTTATTGTAATTTTTAACAGAGAAAATTCTCACATTTGTGGGTTTCTTTGGTCGCTTGAGCAGCCGTCTCAAGAAATAATGGATAAAGCTGATTTTATGTAGCTCTAACAAAATGTGCTGCTTTTTAAATTAAAAACAAATCTTTCCTTGATGTCAAATTTGAGGAAAAAAGACAAATGTGATTAATAATGATTACCCTCAATAAATGTGATTAATCACGATTAATAATCTGAATGAATACCTAGTTAAAGGATTCAGACACATGCCAAATACTGTTATAATGTTTTAATAATAACCTCAAAATAGTCTGCTTTCACGTGTCACTGTATCGTTTTTCAGACTTATCTCTTTATTTACTCTCCAGTGTTAGCGAGAGGAGATCGGATAACTATGCGGTTTAAATACGAGGCTTAAATCCCTGAGTTCACCACATACAACACCATATGGCTTCGATCAGTCTAGGAAAGACCACCAGCACAAGTGCCCCCTCTCTTTTCTCCCTCTCTGCATCCACGTGCTTGCCTTCATCTCTCTCCCTCTCTCTCTCTCTCTCTCTCTCTCTCTCTGTGTCTCTCTTTCCCTTCCCCCAAGCCCTGTGTACTGTGGCGAAAGAGGGCACAGTCAAAGCTCTGCAGACGGCCTACTGGCTCGGAAGGAATGAATTAGAGTAGAAAATGACTCTCTCTGTCAGCGCCGATGCGAACGTGACACTTCAAAACCATTAACCGCGAGAGAGAAGCGTTCCCCAGGCCTCAGCGCCGTTTACTGCCCTCCCAATCCACTAAACGAAGGGCTTGATAATAATCAGATGATTTCAATCAGGTGAGCAGGAGGAAATGAACAGGGAACGCATTCATCTGTGCAGAGCTGCGTGTGTAGGGCAGAACCAAGACACACGTGCTTTAGACTGGAGGTGTAAAATGCCTTGATGCATCATGACGCACCAGTCTGAAGATGGCCAATTCAAATGCATCAAATCAGTTATAGCTGATTATAATAATATTCAATAAAGTATGAGCTAATTTTTTGGCCAAATAAATGATGTATTTACCAAAATAAAACATTTAAAAAGTATAATTGTATAAATATCGGGACTCACATGCTGGTTAGGTTAGACAGAGTTAGTATCAGTATCAGTTCTCGGTATCGGTCAGTACTTAAGGATCAAGTATCAGTATCGGAAGGGGAAAAGAAGTATCGGTCCAACCCCAGTATTAAATGTATTTTTTTGAATAAATGATACTAATTAGTGCTGCCAAATGATTCAAATAATTCAGGAAAATGGTACAACTGTGTGGGTGTATCAGAAGAGGCTTTCATTATATAAACACCTTTAGTGTAAAGGAGAACGGCCTTTACACACTGAACGCAATTTATTCGTGCCATTTATTCGGATGGCAGTGAATTCATCTCCGCACACGTTTAACTAACAGTGTCTTGTACACTAAACACGACTGTTCAGCCGGCGAGAATGCGACATTTTATTCGCCCTCTGTTTGATTTTTGTGAAGTTTCGCCGGGAACAACAAAAACTCTCTGACCAATCACGGTCGTCTCTGCCATGTCGGCATGAAAACAACCAAGACGAGGATCAGAATCTTTGAAAACAGCTGAAACGGAGCTCAAATTGAGCTACAAACGTCTGAGTCACGGTCTGTGTAGAAGCACTCAGAGTTTCAGCTTCATTAAGCGATGAAGCTCTTCACACTGCTTTTACTTGTCCAAAATGGACAGTAGCCTAGTTTGTCCATTCTGCTGGGAGCAAAGAACAGGATCTTGTTTGAATTTAAAGACATTTATCCTGTTTGTTTTGTGCTTTGTTTAGTGTGGTTCGGATGCCAGCTGTGAGCGGAAACTCCTTGTTCTCCTCTCGCTTTTCCAAGATAGCCAGTTTCTCAGTTTTGTGAGGGCTGAAGGACCTTTTTAATAAAGTTGATGTATATATAAACACAAAAGTGCCACATTTAAAAAAAAATACTGTCAAAAACAACGAATATAATGATTTGTTTTCAACGTTTCACATCCTGTGCTGCAATAATTCCAACTAAACACCGTTAATTATGTTCTTTTTGTAATGAAATATGCAGCTGGTCACTTATTTGACCTTATATATCGATGATGTCCACGATATTCTCAAAGAAGTGCAGTATGTAAAAAAACTGCCCAGCCCTAATTCTGCAGAAAAAAAACATCGCCATCAATGACCCAACAGTGGCCCGCCATCCCCTTGCTTTCTGGGAATCCACACAGAACCCTTAGAAACCCTTAAAAAAACGGTATTAATATCAAATAATGCTAACCAGCAAATGTGGAAGCTTTGTGAAAAGTAAATGAAAGCCTGTTCACTGATAACTAGCAAACTAGCCTACCAGCACTAGCCGTTAACTCACTGGACGCAGTATTAGCCTTTCTTTCTCGAACAATCCCTTTCAGGTTACATTCTGGACAAAGAAGCTGGTCCTGGATCAACATATCAGAGCCGCACGATATCCACCCGGTTCTGCGCATGAAAGCTGCTGCGATCGGGGTCTGACAGACCCGCCGCTGGCTGCTAACACAATAAAAGGCTAAATAAGAGCAGCATTGTGGGTAGTGCTGAGAACAGGCTCCTAAATGCATTCAGGCACTTGGGGGCAGGAGGGAACGAACTTGTCACGGGGGCTGAGGATTTCATTATGAGACGCTCTGATAATAATCTGCCTGCTGAAAAGATTTATTCGTGACATATTGTGAGGTGGATGAAATGAAATAAAGCTCGGCGGCAGCCATATGGAGCCGCACGGCGGCAACCACAAAACTCAATTTGCCCTCTGTAATCTGATAGTAACACTCTGGGTCTTAGGCATATGAAAAAAAAAATCACTATTTTCGCTTTTACATTCTTTTACTCCCTCTCTCTCTCTTTTCTCTTCCCTTTTCCCTCCTTTTCTTTACTTTTTTCGCTTACTATCTCATCTGTACATCGAGATTGGGTGGCCATGTGACTGTGTGACAGTTTAATCCCTCCAGCACAGGACTTAAAGCAGAAGGCATGGTTGATGCCTTCTACAGGACTGCAACACACACCAAACTAGAACAGTTCACCACGGTGTACCCAAACTAGCGCAACTCACAACCGGCTACTGGATCACAGTTAAGACCAGAGTAGGAGAGTATGCAACCATTTACTGGGCTGGCGCCAACGCCAGGTTCATTAGCTGCCACACGGCTTGCGCCACGACCAAGTTAGCACGTTCATATTCATCTACTGGGCCAAAACTGGCACCAGACTTAGGCCCAATCCCATTTCACCCCTTGCCCCTACCACTTAGCCCTTAGTCCAGTGTTTTGCGTGTTCACATCTATTTTGTTGAGATAGAGGGGTATGGCGAAGTCTCACTCCAAACAGAGTGTTATGAGAAAAAAAGAAAGATGGCTGAACAAGAGACCAAAGAAACCCACAAATGTGAGAATTTTCTCTGTTAAAAAATGACGAAAAACACTGTATTATCTTAGTTTAATGTCGTTTCAGTGTATTATAGTCGTTTTCTTCATAACAAGCATCAAAAAATAGCTAAAAAGCTAATAGCATGCTAATGTTTCGGTAGCTAGCTAGCTAACTTTCCCGTTCCACCTTAAATAGTCCAGCAGTTCTGACATCTGAAGCGCCAGAATGTAACTGCGGCACCTTTTAAGGTGGAACGGGAAAATTCCAACAAGAACAACTGGTATCCTACAACTGATACCAGAGTAGCATGACTCATAGCAAGTTACAGTTACCACAACTGAAACAAGATTAGCATGCTTTGGCAGCAGAGCCATGACTGATTCCAGGCAAACATGGTTCACAACTAAGTACAAGACCACAAGGCTCCACATTTCACATATATTTCAGGATTTGCATCAGTACCTGACTAGCCCAGTTCACAACTGGCTACAGGATCTGATAACTGGCTAGCATGGTTCACAGTCAGTTACAGCACCACATCTGACACCAAGTTAGCACAATTCACAACCAGTTACAGGCTTCACATCAATTCTAGCACAACTGACAACTGGCTACCTAACCTCAACTAATACCACACTGGCATGGTTCACAACTAGTTACAGGACCACAATTGCTAGTTACAGGACACAAGCGGCTGCAAGATCCCAACCTGATATCAGACTAGCATGGTTCGCCACTAGCTACAGAACTACAACTAACAGTGGACTAGCACACTTCACAACCAGTTACAGATCATGCACCAATAGCAAGCTAGCCCAGTTCATAACATCTTACATGATCACACAATTACAGGGTGTGCCATGCACCCATCCCCCAGGCCCCGATGACAGCCTCGAGAGCCAGCGGGAAGGTAGGACACAAGTCCCAAACTCTGCTGGCCGAGCCCCGCCTCCTGTTCTGCATCGAGGCAGCTAGACTACACTGATGGCTAAGATGGGGAGCAGGGGCGGTGACGGGGAGGTGGAGCAACGAGCTCTCTTTCTCTCTGTTCCCTCTCTGCTCTTCTTAAAGATGCCTGAGCAAAGAGGGAATGAGAGCTTGTTGCTCTGCCTCCGTCACCACCCCCGCTCTCCGGCTCATCCACCGGGATCAAACATGAGGCTCTGGTGATCGTTCTAACACAGTTTTAACAATAAAGCATATTAAATGCTGGATTTAATGTAGCCTATAACTGCTAATTCACCCTTTAACCTTTAAAAGATCAGCATGCAGACTGCTGGTCAACACAGCAATGCAGACAACAATCTCGCCTAGAAAGTAGCTAATGAAACAGCAAAGAGAGAGATTTAAGACGGACACTGATGATTTGGAGACGAACTGACTCATTTGCAATTTATAATCACTCCAGCTGGTTTCCTGATACGTTTAATCTGCACTGAGAAACTGTCAAACACTAAAAAGTCATGAAGCAGAAGTCAGCATCTCATTCGCCAGCTTCTTGTTCAGATTTTCCTGTTCCATCTTAAACGGTGCAGCAGTTACATTCTGACACCCCAGGCACCATTTTAGGTGAACGAGAAGCGACTTCAGCCTCATAAAAAGTCAAACTTTGGAAGACATTTTACATGAAACTTCTACTTTTGAGGAAGATTCCTGCTGGAGATGTGAGAAAAGCGTCTATAGCTGAGCTAAAGCTTAAAGCAGAGCAAAGTAAGTCTGCATTTTCATTTATATTAAATGTTTTAGCCTATACTAGTACATTCTGAGACATATTTACAGCCAAGATGGTAAAACGGACATAAAACGTTGTGGCTCCCAAGGTGGTTTGATTTTTGTTGAGAGGACAAAATGGCTCTTCTTAACATTTGGGTTGCCAACATTTGGTACAGACAATATATCGCCCAGTCCTACATGGGACTCAAACCATTGTTATACTTAAACCTGCTACATCAGTCTTTATTCAGTAAATGTCCACAAAATGTCACATAATAAACCTTGTGTTCCTCATTTCTGCAAGTTTTGAAAATACATTATACTGTAGAATGTCTACAGTTCTAGTCCTTTGTGTTTAAAATAGTGGTTAATTTTCCTATGTTTAACTGAAGAGTCCCACATGGACCACATACGATTGATTTCAGGCACTTTTAAACAAGGAGTTCTAACTAAAATGCTAATGTTGCTGTTAATTAATAATAACGAATAATAAATAATGAACGCCATTAACCATGGATTACCATTATACATTAGCTATTAGATTCAATTGTTAGCCATGTTAGCGGTCAAGCTATCTCTTTAACAAGTATCATAGCTGTTGCCATTCGTCTTCCATTTGCAGCGCTGTGAGACAGTCTGTTGTTTCTGAGGTCACGTCTTGGTTCATGGATTTCTGTCACAAGAGATTAAGAATCAGTCTGACAGTGAGCCCTGAGCATGTGTGTGTGTGTGTGTGTGTGTGTGTGTGTGTGTGAGTGTGTGTGTGTGTGTGTGTGTGTGTGTGTGTGTGTGTGTGTGTGTGTGTATGTGTGTTAACCCACCTTCAGTTTGCTCTCTTTCTCCTTGGTGACCTTGGTGAGCAGCTTGGCCTTCTGCCGTGTAAGAGCTTCAATCAAGGCGTCACACTGAGCCACCAGACACGCCTCAAACTCCACTCCGTTTTCCTGTTACACACAGTTTTATTTAAGGTCAGAGTGAGAAATCATACATGTCCCATACGTATTATATATGTATATATATGTGTGTGTGTGTGTGTGTGTGTCTACATGTAATGATAATATGCCCTATATGTATATGTATTACAATTACATTTTATATATATATATATATATTGTGGTGTCCCTACGGATGTGCGGAAGGCATGTCCATGCAAAGCAGCCATGTAAAGAGGTTCTCAGGAGGTGCCGCGCTTACAGTAAGTGAGATATTTATTGTACTTAAGTTGTGAATGTTAGTTTAACATGTGTTATGTGTGATTTATTGTGCTGAGCTGTGGGGTTAGTTAGTGGGGTTATTATCTTCCATAGACAGGAATCCTATGGCTAAAAGTTAAGACCTTCCCTGCTGTCCCACTGTGTTGAACAGTGCTGAACGGTTGTTCTCCCTTGCTGCCTGTTCAATAATTTTTTGCCTTTAAAGCGCAATGATTCCCATGTTCACTACACTAGTGTCAGAAGTGGGATAGCACCTCCAGTGGCCTGGAGTTAAATGAATGATGCCTCAACAAATGATTACCGCACATTGATTTTTTGCGTAAATATGTCCCATATTGTTACATATGTGTCAATACCTATATGTAATAACAACATGAACTATGTGCATTGTGTATGTATCCTGGCTTACAGAAACACTTCATGGCAAAATTGTGACTTTTTGGGCTTTGTTGTGTTTCTTATTTTTTACTGTGATTTTTTAAACTGAAACTCAAATATCTCAATCAGAAAGTTCTGAAATGTACAGTTTACAATGTCTGACTGAGAAAATCACATTTAAAGACTGCATTCTGTTTTATCGGGAGGCAGCAGGGCACAGTTACAATATGTAGGATGTGGTCCCTTTAAAGACCATCTGTGTTCCAGTATCATCTTCCTCCCCGCTTCTGCCTTTTTCTCCATTATTTTTTGCCCCCGCATGCTTCCGTTCTCCCACTCTCTCCCTCTCACCCCTCCGTTCAGATCTGTGGGTGAGTGGGCACAGTGGTCAGAACGTAGGAGGACTGGAACACAGCCGATCATTCATAAAGACTGAGTGCAGATATAACCCGGGTTTAGAGCAGCACCTCAGCCTACAGCACACAGACACAGAGCCGGCACTGACGCACAGCACCCACTGAATCACGGCATGAGAGAAGAAGGTGGGCTGGAATGGTGGGAGAGGAGGAGGAGATATTTGGGGACACAAGAGAGGAAGTGATGATAGATAGATAGATAGATAGATAGATAGATAGATAGATAAAACATAACAACAGAACAAAAGAAAGCTAGATAGAATGATAGAATGGTAGAACGATAGATAGATAGATAAAACATAACAGAACAATAGAACAAAAGAACGATATAGAACGATAGATAGATAGATAGATAGATAGATAGAACATAATGGAACGACAGAATGACAGAATGATAGAACGAGAGAGAAAACGATAGATAGATAGATAGATAGATAGATAGATAGATAGATAGATAGATAGATAGATAAAACATAACAACAGAACAAAAGAAAGCTAGATAGAATGATAGAATGATAGAAGATAGATAGATAGATAAAGCATAACAACAGGACAATAGAACAAAAGATAGATAGAACGACAGATAGAACGATAGATAGATAGATACATAGATAGATAGATAGATAGATAGATAGATAGACAGATAGATAAAACATAACAACAGGACAACAGAACAAAAGAACGATAGATAGAACAATAGATAGAACGATAGATAGATAGATACATAGATAGATAGATAGATAGATAGACAGATAGATAAAACATAACAGGACAACAGAACAAAAGAACGATAGATAGAACAATAGATAGAACGACAGAACGATAGAACGATAGATAGATAGATAGATAGATAGATAGATAGATAGATAGATAAAACATAACAACGACAATAGAACGAAAGAATGCTAGATAGAACAATAGATAGATAGATAGATAGATAGATAAAACAACAACAGAACAATAGAACGATAGAACGAAAGAACGATAGATAGATAGATAGATAGATAGATAGATAGATAGATAGATTACAGAATAATAGAATGGTAAAGACAGACAGACAGACAGACAGACAGACAGACAGACACTTTCCTTTTTCTATACTGAAACCGTGTCACACAGTGTTTAGACTAAACACTAATTCTATGCAGGATTAGCTCAGTACAGTGAGGTAAGTGTGTCACACAGTTTCTAATTAGAGTGGAATAATCTTAACATTACTTGTTATCTACATGAGCCTCACAGGTCCAGCGCGAGACTAACGAAGCAAACGTCAGACACCAAACATCTTGGTTGATCAGTTTTGGGGTAAGAAGTGGAACTTGTAAATTACACGTGTAAAAATCGTCAAAAAATATCACCACAAACGTACTTCTAACTGACGAGTTGTTAAGAGTAATAATGAGCGAAAAAACATTTACACAGTTTTCCACTGTGAAATAAATTACTCCATATGTAAGATTACTCCATATGTAGTCGATCAGCCAGCTTAAATCACACCCAGCTGTTCATTAAGGTCACGCAGACTTATTGATGTAGTTTAGAACACGATATGACCTACTATGATGATATTCAGTGATATTGAGCATATTGTGTACAAAGACAGTATTTAGACTATAAAATATTATAATTCTCCCATACTGCCCTGCCTGCCTGTTCAGCTACACAGTGTAACTTGAGCGGGTCGAGAGAAGTTTTGAAGAAGTATTTACTGAAAAGATTTAGGTGACTATTCTAGTGTTAGCCTTGTCGCTGCAGTGCTAACCTAAAGAACCAAAATGTAGACACCAGACATGTCTTGGCTAAACGACCACATCTGGGGTTACCGGAAAACTCTAGATTTGATTCTTCACTGAACAATTCCCACAAAAGGCTCATATAATGGAAAACTGAATTTTCCATGCTTTCTTTGAAATAACAGAAAAAACTTTACTAAAGTTTCAAAAAGTCCAGTTCATATGCAGAAACTAAGTGGTCTGAATCCACTGTTTTTATGATGTCACCAGTGCTAACACAGCTACACATATCCAAACTCCAGCAGCACTGCTGTGTCTGATCCACTCAGACCAGCGCAACACACACTAACACACCACCACCACGTCAGTGTTACTGCAGTGCTGAGAATGATCCACCACCCAAATAGTACCTGCTCTGTGAGGGTCCATGGGGGTCCTGACCACTGAAGAACAGGGTAAAAGGGGGCTAACAAAGTATCAGAGAAACAGATGGACTACAGTCTGTAACTGTAGAACTACAAAGTGCACCTATATAGTAAGTGGAGCTGATAAAATGGACAATGAGTGTAGAAACAAGCAGGTGGTCATGATGTTATGCCTGATTGGTGTATATATCTTAAAGGCACAGTAACAAAACCAGCCTGATTGGTTCAAATGATAACGATGGTCACGTAAAAATGAATTATGATTGTTTTTGCTGCATAAAACCACAAACGGACTTCAGGGGAGAAAAATAAAACACAAGAAAAATGTAGGATATGGGCCCTTTAAGTCACCTCCAATAAACGTGTTTATGTGATGACACTCTATGACATTATCTATAAAAACGGATGCAAGTCCAGGCAAAATGGCTGTGGATGGATGTGGCTGTTGCTTTTAGCTAAGCTACGCACCATGAAGCAAACTTCACATACCAAACATGTCTTTACTGATTGGTTGCATTTAAGGTAAAACTGTGTAAATTTGATTTTTGGCTGAACTGTCGCTTTAACGATGATGAAAAGACGTCCTAAAGCTAGTCCACAGTAGGCACTGATCTTTCTTGACATACTGTAAGAGCTCAGTGGATATGACAGTGCAGAGAGAGACAGAGAGAGACAGCAAGAGAGAGAGAGAGAGGGAGAGGGAGAGAGAGAGAGATAGCGAGAGAGAGAGGGACAGCAAGAGAGAGAGAGAGAGAGAGACAGCAAGAGAGAGAGAGAGAGAGGGAGAGAGAGGGAGAGAGAGAGAGAGACAGTGAGAGAGAGAGAGAGAGAGAGGGAGAGAGAGAGAGAGAGACAGCGCGTGAGAGAGAGAGGGAGAGAGAGAGAGAGAGAGAGAGAGAGACAGCAAGAGAGAGAGAGAGAGAGAGGGAGAGAGAGGGAGAGAGAGAGAGAGAGAGAGAGAGAGAGAGAGAGAGAGAGAGAGGGAGAGAGATAGCGAGCGAGAGAGAGAGAGAGGGAGGGAGAGAGAGAGAGAGAGAGAGAGACAGTGAGAGAGAGAGAGAGAGAGGGATAGCAAGAGAGAGAGAGAGAGAGAAAGAGAGAGAGAGACAGCAAGAGAGAGAGAGAGAGGGAGAGAGGGAGAGAGAGAGACAGCGAGAGAGAGAGAGAGAGAGAGAGAGAGAGAGGGAGAGAAAGAGAGTCCCAGTGGACTGCAGCATAATGCTGATCACAGTGGCACTTTACGAGAGCGAGCTGAAATGGCTGCACATGCACTCATGTCCCTCTCTCTGTGCCTGCTGGGCAGTATGAAGGGGCTTTAAACTCTCGGCTGGACTAAAAATAATCCTGACCCCTATAATCCTGTTCCAGCTCCACATAAAACAGCTCACGAAAAACCTCCATCACTGCAAACGCATCACTGACCCACATCCACATCCACACTGAACTCTTATTGATCTGCGCACGGAGCGAACGCTTTATTTTAACGGCATCTGTTAAATATTCATATCTGGCCCCTCCAGCAACTCAGATACTCTGCTCGTACATGCAGAGGGAACCGTCACATGACCCGTTCTGCTCATGTGTGATCATGGCGTGTTTGGTATGCGGTACATCACTGGGACTGTGGATGTTTTCACTTCAAACGGGGTTTGTTTATCGAGCCAAAAAAGCACTGAGTGTTGACTAGAACGGCAGATATTTTCCTAATGTATATGAAATTTTGTGTTTTTAAATGTTAATGTTTTTCAGTATTCCTCTGTTTTTTCAATAAACAGCTAAAGGAAGTTTAAGGGGACTGGCCAGTTTGTATGTCTTGTTATATCAGCAACATGGCTGAAAAAACACTAGAGGGTGCTGCAAAACAGCAATAAAATGGCTTAAAAAAATTAAATTTGTTTTTTTACCATTTCTGCTATAATTTCATTTAATTTTGGAAATTATAAGGATGTATTCAATTTTACAATAAAATAGATTTTCATTTTTCTACAGTAAACAGATTTTGGGCCATAAGATGTTAGCATTACTGCTACTGAGTGATGATTGGTTGGCATTACTGCTACTGAGTGCTGACTAGTTGGCATTACTGCTACTGAGTGATGATTTGTTGGCATTACTGATACTGACTGCTGATTGGTTGGCATTGCTGCTACTGACTGCTGATTATTTAGCATTACTGATACTGAGTGCTGATTGGTTGGCATTACTGATACTGAGTGTTGATTGGATAACATTATTGCTACTGAGTGCTGATTGGTTAGCATTACTGCTACTGAGTGCTGATTGGTTAACATTACTGCTACTGAGTGCTGATTAGTTAGCATTACTGCCACTGAGTGCTGATTGGTTGGTATTACTGCTACTGAGTGCTGATTGGTTGGCATTACTCCTACTGTGTGCTTACTGGTTGGCAATACTAGTACTGAATGCTGATTGGTTGGCATTACTGCTACTAAAATGAAAATGGATATATATTAAAATTCCACACAGTATTTTGAAATGTATATATACGTATATATACTTAATGTCTGGGTCATGTGTCAGCTCATAAATCCACAACCTACCTGTATCTGCTGTAGCAGGTTCTTTAGCTGCACCAGGAACTCCTTGGCATCCTTTGCTTTATCAGACACTCCATTCAAGGCCTGGGACAGCTGGCACTGCAGATAAACACACACACATATACATGCATGCGTGAGTTAAGGACGAATGTGTGTTACATTTACAATGTATGCCATAAAACATCTCATTACAGAGTCATTGGCTGAATGCAGGATGACCCTTCCAGTTTATTTCAAACAGCCTACTTGACATGTTCCACCGTAGGATGACTAATAGGCAGAATGGGGGAGGGTAACAGCCTCCGTAATGAACAACAGCACGCCAGCCGATCTGAAGCCTGGCCAGGCACGCCTCGACTCAGAACAGGCCCAAGAACCGAGGCCCTGCCAGGCTAGCATAGCACAGAGCTCCGAGAGATAAAGCACTGCATTCCTCAGAGCCAAACAAAAAATCCCCCTGCCTGCCAACCCAGCCAACAGCAGCAATCCCAAGTGCTGTGTTGTTGAGCTACATCTGTTTGTTGGCATGTCCGGAATATTCTCCTCCCCTTAGATCCAGCCTGCCAAGACCTGCTTCGGAACATTCTGATGCTAACTGCTAACACTGGAGCACTAGATTTCAAAGAACTCTGGAGCTGGACCATCAGAGCGTGTACAACATGTACTTTCTCATTTAATAACCACAGAAGACCCAACATGATGAGGCTGATTAAAAATACATGGGAAAAATGCTCATATAATAGATTTATGAGTCATTGTAGCCTTCAGGAGAATAGCTGGAACCATGTGCTAAAGACCCTCCAAAGGACAGTGAGCACTGGAGAGTCTTTCCAAGCAAATTTACATGAACCATCTGATACTGACCGTATGCTAAGATGACCATCAGATTTTTATCACTTACATTTTCATTAGCTGTCCACGCTGTTATGTGTATTTACATCAGTTTGTTTTTTAAAGTTAGACAGGAAATGTATTCATTGCAAGTAGTCAGCTAGATATTATCACTGCCAGAACAAAGATCTTTTTATTTCCAGTGTATGTTATTTTAATTGCCCTTTGCATTACATCAAACTCCATAAAGAATAGACTAACAGAAATGGTCCAAAACTGCTTAGAATAAAGTCTTATTACATTTATATTGTTCTACTCTACAGTAAAGTTAGCGTTTTAGAGATGCAAGGTTTGTCAACAGTGACGATGTAGTCGCTCGATTAGAAAAAATCAGTAAAGTTGACCAACATAAAGCCTTTAAAAGTTCTTCAACAGCTTGTTTTACACATTTAGTTACTAAATGAGATCCTTGTGAGTTGTAAAAGTATACCACTTTGTTTCACATGGGCCTGTTTTTGTTGTGCCATTTTGCTAATTACCCACCCCTTCACATCACGCAACGTAAGCAGGTCTTAGGAAAGATGAGCAACGAAACCCACCAGATTCTCTAACAATAGCCAGAAGTCCAGCATACTTCAAATGGTCAATCAACCAATGGAACTAACAAGAAATGTAAACTTGTACCCACTAATTAGTGTTGCATGCGTACAAACTGCATGCGTAATCATCACGCAGTTGCCTGAAACAGCGGAAATTAAGAAAATGTTTTTTTGCCTGATAATAATATAAAACGATAACAATACACAAACACTGTAAACTGGTGTGCTGATGCTAACAGGCCAAAACATTCAGCAAATCTCCATCAGCTTCCAACGGTTTACCAGTTAGCGTTAGCTCATTAGCACAGAAGTCCAGAAAGGCCATAAGGTAGTTATCATTTTCTGGACCGTTATACTGAGATTACGACTTAATTATCTCGTGATCTCAAGGTAACAACTTAACCGTCTTGTGATGTCAAGATAAGAAACCATGGCTATAAAACCATGGTATGTTTGTGGCTTAATTATCTCGTGATCTCAAGGTAACAAAAGTTATCCGGAGATCAAGACTTAATTATCTTGTGATCTCAAGGTAACAAAAGTTATCCCGAGATCAAGACTTAATTATCTTGTGATCTCAAGACAACTTAATTATCTTGTGATCTCAAGGTAACAAAAGTTATCTTGAGATCAAGACCTAATTATCTTGTGATCTCAAGATAACAACTTAATTATCTTGTGATCTCAAGGTAACAACTTAACTGTATTGTGATGTGAAGATAAGAAACCATGGCTATAAAACCATGGTATGTTTGTGGCTTAATTATCTTGTGATCTCAAGGTAACAAAAGTTATCCTGAGATCAAGACTTAATTATCTTGTGATCTCAAGGTAACAAAAGTTATCCTGAGATCAAGACTTAATTATCTTGTGATCTCAAGACAACAACTTAATTATCTTGTGATCTCAAGGTAACAAAAGTTATCCTGAGATCAAGACTTAATTATCTTGTGATCTCAAGACAACAACTTAATTATCTTGTGATCTCAAGGTAACAAAAGTTATCTTGAGATCAAGACCTAATTATCTTGTGATCTCAAGACAACAACTTAATTATCTGGTAATCTTGAGACAATAAACGCTTGTTATCTTGAAATCACAAGTTAATCAAGTTGTGATCTCAAGATAACAATCCAGAAAGTTAGTAACAGCTCATGGCCTCTCCGGACTTCCGTACCATCAGTGCCTCTGAAAAGCTTCCTGTACTCATCCAAAATGAAAACCTACCTATTTTCTCCTCGGCTGTTACTGAGCATTAAAATATTTAAAAGGTTTTAAAATTTTAACCTCCAGGTCTGTCATCTAAAACGTGAGCTAATATAAGTCCGTTTATTTTTTAACTTTTTTGTGGACTTTTTCTCCTCTCTGGTTAACCGGACATCCACTCATTAACTCTTACGGATCCTCGAATCTGTCATTTCACTGAATCGCTGGACAGTTTTCTACCTGACATTCCATAACAAACACCCAAGAAGTGACTTCAGTATTCAGATACAGGCACCTGGTACTTAAGTGTCTGTGCACCTCAAACCACATCTTAATCTTAAACAGACTTCCTTGGTTTCCGACTATGATCTATAAACATGGACGGAATTACAGACATAATCCCGGCTTTGAGATGGTTTGCTGTCTGTGCTGGTTACTTTGGAGGGTGTGGATATTTAGCCGACACTGCTCAGGGCCTGTGGGCTCGTATGCTGATTAGCGATGGATGACGATGATTGCTCAGCCCTGAGAGACCTTGGTCTTCATCTTCACACACATTACCATACACATGCACACACACTCCTCTCCCACCTGCTCGTCTTCCTCTGGGCCTTCCTGGACTGTCTGACGATCAGCAGGGTCTTAAACAAACCAGCCCTCAACACTCCACACACACTCTCAAGACACACACACACACAAACCCACACCTCCTCGCTCCATTAATGTGCCATCTGCCTCGACAAGCTGTCCAGTCCACTAACAAGACTGCGATGGGTCCCCCTCCTCACGGCTCACTGCTCCCACTGTGAGTGTGTAGACGCTAGGACACTACCAGGGTCAGTGGTGCAGTAGGTTGGCCGCTCCACCCCTTGGCCTGGCCCTCTTTTTCATCTGTCAGGCTTAACTACTTCACATAGTCAGCGATGATCATGCTCGCCATTATCTACTAGAGTTTAGGGCTGAACAATTAATCGCTTTCATATCGAAATCGCAATTTAAATAAGTGCAAGTTTCAAATCGCAAGAGCCACAATTTTAATTATTTTTAATTGTTTAATAATATAAATTTAACCCAATTAAGTAAACCTTGTGAACTGGTAGTTCAGCACTAGTTAGTTAGTTCTCCCATTTTTTTTAAGCACACACTTAAAAAATATGGTTCTTCAAGGGTTCTACAGCAATATATATAGAATATACAGAACCACAAACACCGAAAGAACCCTTTGCATGATTAAAGGGTTCTTTGCATTGTGAAAGGGTTCTTCAGATTGATGGAGAATGTGTTGAATGTGGTTCTTTATAGCACCAAACAGGGTTCTTCTATTGTTACAAGCTTGACATCGTAATAATAGAAGAACCTTTTTGGTGCTACATAGAACCGTTTTCAAATTTCAAATCTTTCTCTCTAATAAACCCATAACTGTAAATTAAGTTTTACATTTAAATTTACAGTTTTAAATTTTTCCCTCATGAATTTAACTTCAGATACTCTTATTATTAAATACTGCTTCATGTATAATTGCATGTAAATCGCAATATTAGTCTGAAAAATCTCAATCAGATATTTTCCCCACATCGTTCATCCCTGCTAGGCTTCATAAATTTTCATCTTTCGGACCTTTTCTGAAGACTTGACCTTGCTTCTTGGCCAGATGCACCTCCTGAGACCACAGGTTATTGATTTCTCCTCAGAACAGCTGTTTAGTTGGAGTCACTTGACCATGCATGCTGTTAACTAGTCACGCTAATAACTTTGTTAAGTGAAACAAGTCTTGGAACATCTTGAAATCGTATTAAATCTAGTCAACATGTCTTATTTTTCCATTACGAGATTGGAAGAATATTATAAGAACTCACTCCTCCTAGTTTTAAATCTGGTTCTTGTTATCATTTTGTTTATTTCAATGTCATTTTGATTGTTTCAAGTCATAACACTTCAGAAACAGGCAGATAATCGGAATAATCTCATAACATTCTTTCAACAACAGCCTCATAATGAGAAACATACATATTGCTGTTGTGGGAACAAAACCTCATATCTCAAAAATGGTAACTTTACAGGAGAAGGAAAAAACCTACTTTACTTTTAATGTAAGTCTATGGAACCAGATTTTTTTCCGAGTCACTTTTGGGTCATTTCTTTTGGTCCATTCATCATGAAAATTACCTACAATGTAAAGGGTAACAGGGATTTTCAAATTATGTCGAAAAGCTGAAAAATGTAAAAAATGGAGATGCGAGGTTTTCTTCCTCTTTTTTCTTTGTTTTTCTTTCTTTTTTGCGGTGTAATTTATTATTAAGTTTGTTTTTCTCTGCATGAAAACAATACAAAACCGGAATGACTCCAGAGCCTGAATCCCAGAGCCAGAGAGCTGGCTAGCGTCCCGCTAATTCAGCCACATATGGAAAACTGCCTGGCACATTTGGCACACCGGATCAAATTATGCCCTTGGTGTTTGAAAAC